GTCAAAAGACGTACCGGAGGGTTTTGGAGAGGAGGCGTTGAAGGGAGGAAAAGGGAAAGAAAGGAATTCTATTCAGGTAAGTGCATCGGTCCCTTTCACTTTGCTCTTCTCCATCTTGGCTGTCCTGGACCCAAACTGGATTGCTCGCTTCTTCTCCCGGGCGACGTTCGTCATGCCGAGTCTCAGTGCGACCAGGCGAAGGGCCTTTTTCTCCGAATCGAGCCCTGCCTCTGGTGAATCCGTTGGTGGTGAAGGGGTGCCGAATCCGCATTTCTCCCACACTGGGAGCTGCACCACCCAGGACACGAACTCTTCGTCTAGGAAGGGAAACCTCGCTTCGCGACCCCAGTGTGCAATGACTCGATTGTCACGGCCCAGGTTTCGCTTTCCAAGGCGGCTGACGTCAAGGTTGATCTCGTCAATGAGGCCCGTGAATCCATCGCGAGAAAATGCTGCTCCATGTCTCGAGTATCCTGCAAATAGCTCATCTGCGCCAAGGCCAGACAGGAGCACCCGTGCCGAAGTGGCATATTGCGTGGGTCGAGCATCGATCTGTCGACTGTCGAACGCCAGCCCTTGCCCACGCGAAGCGAAGTATAACGCGCAAGCGATAGATAAATCCATCTCGGTATTGTGGGGTCTCATCAGACGCTTGACAGTCTCACGGTGCGCAAGGGTTTCCTCGTACGGTACATCTACCGCAACAAATCGCCAATTACGGTCGGGGCAAACTCTTTGCAACTCTGCAAATGCCGCCCGGCCGGTGATACGATCGGGGCAGCTTTCATACACGGAACCAGTGGCACCACCCTTGCCCGCCGCGGCGGCCGCAACGCGCGGGTTTTCAAATGCCACGTTGAGCAAGTCAATGACTTCCTCCTTTGGCAGGATCTCATGAGAGAGCCTGGCGAGCAATGTGCAGTCGAGGCCACCGGAAAACAGTACAGCCACTTTCACTTTGCTCCCTGATGAAGCAGTCGGAGGTTCTCGTACATTCTGGATTCGCAATGCTAAGGACTGACGCAACTTATGCTCAAGTTCCCTGACAGCGACAGTTTCAACGGTTAGTGAAGGAGCTTCTCCATCGGGTGTGGATTTGTTCATTGGAGGGACGGGGTTTCTCTGAACCTCTGTTAGCTAGGTAAGATCAGGATGAGGAAGAAGTGCATACAGGACGAAGAGGAAGATCGGATGTGTTATGTTCCCAAGAAAGTGTCTGTATGCAATTTGCATCGAACAAAGGCGCGCCAGCACTCCTCGTTGCGATCCAGTTATCCTGGAATATAGCATGTTCAAAGTCAATCATATACACTCCATCTGTCTCGACCTCACTAAAGTGGGTCGAAGATGTGCCGTCGCAGAGACTGCACAGCTTAAAGGCCCCTGACTCATCAACACCTTGGAGTAGAGAGCGTCTTCCAAGTGAATCTCTGGTGAAGAACAGTTTTGAGTTGATCGCATCATAGAACACGAAGGCAAAGGGGCCGGAAATGCTACTGATGACATCCAGAACACCTTGAACAGCAGTCGTACCCGAGTCCGCTGACGAAGTTGTTTTCGAATGGTGGTTTACAGCCTGCAGTAACAGCTTAAAGATCAGCTCCGCATCGTTGCCCTGGATAGGTTCACCTGATATCTTCCAGGCGTCTCCATTGTAGCATAACACGGACTGCGTAGTGAGATCCACCAGTGGCTGGGGAACAAGGCAGCCTCCTCTCATCGACAAGACTGTAGAAACAAAGGTAAGCTGAACAGCAATGGGTTCTTCATTGCTTGACCGTGTATTGGCTATCTTCTGTTCAACATTATGAACATGGTAGTTATCAGGTCCTCTTTTCCGCAACAAGCAGCAAGTCTCCTCATTAGGAAGCACAGCTCCTGATGCGCTTAGAGAAAAGAAAATACCACACATGGTGGCAAACAAGCCGCAAGCGAGACGCTGGCGGGGCGTAGTCGAGGTGAAAGACAAGGAAGAGGAAAGAGAAACATGAGAAGAGAGCCGGAGGTCGGGGGAACGATGATCCCCCGCCGCTGATTGCGGGCTGACATCCTCGGCGCTGATGGAGCTTACTCCCCTATCTGGGGCCCTTTTTTCTATATTTCCGCAGTTTCTCCCTGACACCTACTCTGATTGACTCTAGGGCCGTAAAGTCTGTTGCCAATATTAGCTGACCAGACATTCGTGGCCTATTACGTGGCAGCCCCGGGAACCACGTCTCCGCATATTCCCCTCATGATGATCCATGTTTCTACCTAACGAGGCTCTTTTGATTTCTAGTTTGATTTTGGCGTGCATGCAGGTTGCTTATGTCTGCGATAGAACCCTCGGAATCCCCGGCTCCTAGTGGTCATGGGGAGGCCCAGCCGGCCGTTCACAACGTTCCTAGTTCCACTGAACAAGTGAGCTCGACTGACCTCGAGCCTGCCGCGCAGCCACAGGATGATCCCTCAGGAGTGCCGATGACCAGCCAAGAGGCGCAACAAGTCGAGATGAAGGAGCACGTTCAGAAAGAAGCGCAGGCCACCTCTACGGAGTCCCCAAGCACGGTGCCGACGCCGTCCGCCACAGATCCCTCGAACCCCATGTTGCCTCCACGGGAATCGCTTCCGGAGCGGATGAAGGGGCTTTCTATCACCACGACAGCAAGACCGGCACCTGCTACGTTGCCAAACGCAGAAATTCCTCCTACACCCCCGGCGAAAGACGAACTTTATGTATCCTCAAACCCTCACTCCGCAATCACACACTCGCCCGCGATCGAATTGACTGATAAGGAATTACCGGAGGTGCCTGAAAACGACCAAGACGGAAGGAAGAATACTGGTGGTGGTGACAATGACTCTCAATCGGAAATTCAGAGTATTATGGATCAATTCCAAGACTCTACGCGCGGTGACGGGCAGGAACAGATCATGTCTCCTCGCCTGGAACTAGCCGAGCAGTTTCTGGGTGGACAGAGCCACTTTCCACCTCGTCAGTCAAGTTTAGATCACAGTAAATCGGCGGCTGACGACGCGCGCATGCCCAAGTCTGCGACAGGGGCATCTTCCATCTCGGCTGAGAAACAACCCGCAAAAGTTCCCAAGAGTTCTGCTACCGACGAGGCCAAATTGAGCCGGCGTTCGTCGACATCGACCATTCCCCCGCCACCCGAGCCTGAGCCGGACCAACCGTTTGATTTTCATCGCTTTTTAGAGCAATTGCGTCACCGTACTGCGGACCCGGTTGCAAAGTTTCTACGCTCATTTCTCCATGAGTTTGGGAAGCGACAATGGATGGTCCATGAACAAGTCAAGATTATCAGCGATTTCTTGGTGTTCATCACAAACAAAATGGCTCAGTGTGAAGTATGGCGCGATGTGTCCGACAGTGAATTCGACAATGCCAAAGAAGGGATGGAGAAGCTCGTAATGAATAGACTATATTCCCAAACTTTTTCACCAGCTATTCCTGGTCCGCCCACAATCCCACGAAGTGCGAGTAGAAGCAAAAGGCGTGAGATGGAGAGGATGCATGGCCCATGGAGGCGAGGGCAGCATCAGGAGGATATAGAGCGAGATGAAGTTCTCGCTCAGAAGATGCGAATTTACAGCTGGGTTAGAGAAGAGCATCTGGACATACCGCCAGTGAGCTCTCACGGTCGCCGTTTCTTGAATTTAGCTCAGCAGGGTGTGTGATGGGCCCTCTTTTCTTCGATCGACGTCTATCTAACCGGTTACAGAATTGTTGAAGATCAACGGCTATCGTGCTCCTCGCGATAAAGTTATCTGCATTTTGAACTGCTGCAAAGTCATATTCGGTAGGTAGTAGGCTTAATGCAAGGGCTGTGGAGTGACATATGTGCTAATATTCTCAAGGTTTGCTGAGGAACTCTAAAAGATCTGACACGTCTGCCGATTCTTTTGTGCCGCTTTTGATCTACGTGGTGCTGCAGGCCAATCCCGAACATCTAGTATCGAATATACAATATATCCTGCGGTTCCGCAACCAGGATAAGCTTGGAGGGGAAGCTGGATACTACCTATCATCACTGGTATGCTGAACCCTGCTCTAGATAACGACCATGTTCTGACCTCTCTCTAGTCGGGAGCGATTCAATTCATCGAGACATTGGACCGAACGAGCCTAACAGTGAGCGACGAAGAGTTTGAGCGAAGTGTTGAAGCTGCCGTATCCGCTATTGCCCAGCAAAACCGCGAGTCCGAGACCTTGGAGCGCCAAACCTCAGGCCGTTCCGCCGAAGGCTCCCAATCCGCGCCACGAAGCTCTGCTGACACGCAACGCACGGCCGTGCGCAAAGAGGCATCACAGTCTAGCGATGAAGATTCGGCCCCAGTAGCAGGGCTTCTGCGGACCATTCAGAAGCCATTGTCGACCATTGGAAGAATCTTCTCTGATGAGCCAGACTCCCCTCAGGATCGGCCCACGCAGTCTGGGGCATCGCCACGACTGACACCGAACGTGTACCAGCCGCCCCGCAATAGCAGCGAAGGCCGGCGATCGGCGGAGAGGCCACGCAGTGCAGCCTCTCCGCAGGTTCCCAGGGCGGATGCTCAAGATGCCGCTGCGCGTCAAGCCAGTGCTGAGGATGCAGAAGCACGGAGAATCCATCGTGCAGAGCACAACAACGTCGTAGAGACTCTGTGTAATATGTTCCCCAATCTTGACCGCGATGTCATTGATGACGTGGTCAAGATAAAGGGTGGAAGGTAAGCTGTCCCTTGCTTCTACATCAGGAGCGATGTATTGAGTAGCTAACACTGGCAATGCAGGGTTGGATTAGCAGTAGACGCGTGCCTTGCTCTTAGTGCTGAGTGAACAGAGTTTGGTGGAAGTTGGTCAAGGACAGGCAATTACATTGAGAGGATTAACTTTCGGGTTTTTACTCCTTATTCGTTTGCACTGTGGCCGATTATGTACTTATTGCCTGGGCTAATTGCATATAATAATACTGCTGAATGGTAGCCATACCACCCAGAAATGAGTAAACTACCGAACAGCATCTCTATAAAAATCGAGCCACTGACTGAGCTGCCCAGAGCGTAGGGTAAGCACAAAAGTGTGTCCCGAGCCATTCTGCATGATATGAATGACGACACTATCAGAGGAGTAAATGCTAGCAATCATCGAGGTATTCCCCTTTCAAGAAACAACTCATCGAAAGCACAAGCCCCTAACACATCCTTGTACTCCTGTACCAGGTCCCAAAACTTCGCATCAGAAGGTTTTAATACCTTGAACCCATAACGACCTGTTCTATACCAAAGAAGATTATAGTCGTTATAACATCCGTTGTGGGAGAAATCCCCGTAAGCCAAAACCTGCAGGTGCAAGTACCCTTCCCGCCCAAAAGCCCATTCGGCATAAGAAGGCAAAACATAGGCTACTGAATTATCTGGTATGCGTTCGCGTAACATGGGTCCACTTGCTCTGATATGAAGAACTTCGATAGTGGGGCTGAGTCCGTGATCGCCCTGTCCCAGAGAAACATCAAGTAAGCATTCGAGGCATTTCATCTCGATATCAAACATATCAAAAATGAGGAAATAGGTTAGTGGGTACCGTAATTGTACACATCTCGTTGATACTTGCCGAAATTCCCAAAAATTCCAACCCTGGATCGTGGGATATGCGGGGTCGAAATTCAGGCGACCCAAACAAATCTCCATCTTGCTGGAAGCCGACTTCTGTTCTCCAGAGGCCGTGTGTGATGAGGCGCCTCAGTGTGGACTTGTGATGCAACATGCTTTGACACATGCCGTCCCAGGAGACAGTTGGAAGCATAAGATAGAGATCTATCAAGCCGGAGAAGGCCTCGAGGAAGGCTTTCACGGTTTCGGTGATGTTGTCCTGCGACTCGTCGGTAATTTGATTTAGCTTTTCCGGGTTGAATGTCAGTTCGAGCAATTTCAGCTTAAGTGGCATGCCTGAGTGGACGATCTGTCGAAGGAAGCGGAATGTACCGGGGCAGTTGATGAGTTGCAACGCTTGAAGTTGCCCTACGTTAAGAGCACCGGTCAACTGGACTTCCATGGGGATGAAGGATACTTGGGAGAGAGTCAAGCGTTGAAGAGCCGTGAGAAGGGTATATGGTTTTTCTTCAAGTGGAAGACCAAGCACGCATTGCGCAAAGAAGTTCTGTGGCAATATTGCATGTTTATCGACCATTTTTCGGAAAACTTGTCTCCAGGCCAATCTAGCGGTGTCCCAGCCGATAAGGTCGAGGTGCAGTGTCTTCAATTGAGCACCGTGAGCAGCGATAAACTGTCTAACCGACTCAAAGTCAACATATCGCTTAAGACCTCTCCAGGATAGGTGTTGGAGCTCAGAAAGCTGAGCAAGATTTATGGCGCATGATGCATGTCTGATTCTGGTTACAATGCAGTCACCATCTGTGAGGAGAGAAATTGTCGTAAGTTTCTCTTGGGTTTCTAAAATCCTGTTGATGAGGAGAACCACTTCGTCGGAAAAACATGTTTTTAGATCCCACCTATAGCGTGTTAGTGTTGACTCGCCGTAGTGCATCAGAAATCAATATCTGTACTGGAAGCTTTGAAGTTGACCCTGAGGGATTCCTGATACCATGCGATACATGTTGTGTGTCATGATAGGAATGCAGTCAAACGTAGTGGTCTGCTGATCTCCGCACAGTATTATTTTTGACATGGGTCCATCAACATCACCGGTAGCTTGAAGCCTGCCATCCAAGAAATCATGCAAAGAACAGAATTGATAGGCTTCTATCTCATGATATGAACCCCACAGCCTGAGGTGCTTTGTATGCACCAACTGCGAGTGATTTGACCTCGTGATTGCGTCGTTCACGGACTGAGCTGATGGGTACGTTGCTTTTATGACTAGTGATTCATATAGACAAGGAACCATCTTTACATAGATGTTCTTGGAGACTTCACAGAGATTTTTGAGATCCCTTCGGGTCACCTGGGATGGCGAATTAGCCTGCTTCAACTGCTGCTGGAGAGGAACAGAGGACTGCTTACATGATCCAGCACCATGTGCAGTAGTTCGAGGGGTAATCTGTCTAGCATCGTGAGATCGATAGCCACTCGGAATAGTACATGCAGATGAATCTCGTTTGTATGTTAGAGGGGGAAGTATCATTGACGGATGATGCTTGATCTGCCCGTCGGTTTCGAGGTGGGGCCCCACTGGCATGATATACTGGGAAGTCAAGTCACACAATACATGTGGTGGGGTGCACGTGTCTTAGTGGCTACTAGTATAGATATGAACACCTTTCATGTTGCCCGGACCTATGGATAGCCTTTATCTACTTCGTGCGATCTATTCCACGATAAGATATTGGGGCGGAGGTGGAGGCACTTGCCCGTACATAGTACAAGCAAATAGTCTTATCAATGTCTCTTGAGAAGCACATTTCATCTTTGATTTGATACACAGAAATTGGCAGAGGTCGGCAGTAAATTTCATTCTTATGTAGGCTGATTTTATCATGGGACTCTACTCGCGATAAGAGCTAAATCAGTCCCAGACTTGCAAAAGGGGACGCGAGTGTCATTGTATCCGGATAGTGCCCTCTCAGTCTTTTCAGCCCATGCCCTTCAGGTGCTGGCTACACTTTCAACCTCATCTAGCTTAGCGGTCCAGGGGGCAGCGTCACTGCGCTTCTCGACCTCATCTAGCTTGGCAGTCCAAGGAGCAGCGTCACTGCGCTTCTCAACCTCGTCTAGCTTGGCAGTCCAGGGAGCAGCATCGCTGCGCTTCTCGACCTCATCTAGCTTAGCAGTCCAGGGAGCAGCATCGCTGCGCTTCTCGACCTCATCTAGCTTGGCAGTCCAAGGAGCAGCGTCACTGCGCTTCTCAACCTCGTCTAGCTTGGCAGTCCAGGGAGCAGCATCGTTGCGCTTCTCAATGCCAATGAACCCTACAGATACCATTAGTTACTCTGAACTGCGAAGCCGTTGGTAAACACTGTACTTACCAGGGGTTGGAGCAGCCTGGACCCCAACGGTGAGGAGCGTAATAGCTAGTGCGAAGTTTCGAAAGTGCATCTTTATGAGGAAATGTATTTGAGTTCAATTGAGAAAATGGAGCTTGAGAGTAGTCTTAACGGAGCTGCAACAACAGAAGGAAGATTGACTAGCTTCGACAAGGTCCACAACTTGTGCAAACCCATCAGAATGATTCTGTCTCTTATTTATAATGGAAGATCTCTAGCCTTTCAAGCTCATCGGGGATGACGAGAGATACAGACTGATACGGTTACTAGTTTATGAAAGATACTATACTGATCTTTTGCCGATACAACCATATTGCGTTATCATCGCGTGCCCTTTTGCAGACATGATGACTGCATAGACCAGATGCCTACTAGACTGAAAAGAGCATGCTGACGACTTCCCGGCCAAGTCCGGTAGGTCTGTAGTATTTTCCCTGTGTGATACCTATATGTCTGAACTACTTGATGACATTTGGCGCTTATTACGAAAAATTCTACATAGCCCCAGTCATGATAAAATTGCGGGTCTATCTAGATGCATACGCACGTACCTTTAGCCACGAGAATCGCCAATGAAAATGGGAATTAAAGTCCCATGACGTTCTGGTAACATGTAATCAGTGCTTTTCACCTTTTGAACTCTAAGATAAGTAACTGGGCCCCGATTGGAGTTCTTAAACCTTGGCCTATTTGTCAATAGTAGTTGGCAAAAACTCTGTATTGGAGAAGGCCGAAAGTTTCGAGTCCGTCTCCCACATGCATAATCCTTCTGGCCTACAAATTGAATACTCCTTCTCAGCATTCGTTAGCGACCAAAAAACCCTGGCATTGGCTTTTTTCAAGCACAAAGTGCACATTCTGCCTTCGTCATGCACCCAGCTGCCGTCTCTTTCAAACTCCCCACTCTACCCAAAGCCTCACAAAAACCCGATGAAGATGAAGAAGAGTACAACGAGGGCCTACTTGCTGCCAGGGAGAGTTCCGACTTGGCCACGGCTTCTTTGGCACTTGGACGCCTCTCTTCCGACAAGCGACATTGCACGAGCACTTCCTCGAGGCTACTGAAACGCATAGGACTGTTATCTTTCTACCTAGTCATCTTGCTTCTTGCGCTAAACGGTTTCTACCACCTGGTAAGACCGTATAGTGGGACGGTAGCGCAATACGTCCACTGGCCCGGAAGCCTATCCCAAGATGATTTGTCCTGCTCCTGCGGCGATTCTATAGCTGAAGCCTTGACTCGTTCGTGCCGCTATGACACCCTCTCCGCAGCCTGGCTACCACCACACTGCCGGGACGACGAATTGACTGCACGATTCGACGCCGCAGGCCCAGGTGATGGTGGGGCCTGGACATACTACGCAGATCAATCGGGAAATTCTACAATGACACTGGCGGAGATCGCTCAATTGCCGGGAAATGACACCCATGAGTTTTTCTACATGACCTACCGTTGGCACGTGTTCCATTGTAGCTTTTATTGGCGGAAGCTACACCGCATGGTGCATGGAGTAGAAGGAGCAGCGAAGAGGATTGAGTATCGGTCTGACAGCGAGTCTCATATCGACCATTGTGAGGGGATATTTACGCTCAATTATCCACTGGACGCTATTGCGACGGGGAGTGGTGTGAGTTTAAACGCCGATAGGATTCCCAACATTCATGAATGAGAGATTATTGGAGGAGGGTGGAGGCTGGGTGGAAGGCAGAGGACGAAAACGAGAGATTGAGCACGATCGATGTTTCAATAAGCCACAAAAATGGCAAATGTATGGGCTAGAAGCAAGGAATATAGCAAACAAACAAATGTCCACTAAGCCGTCGTACCTGCTCAACACATCCCCTGCCTCTCGCTGTGTAGGCAAACCCCACTAAGTCGTATTGACACTGCATGATAACTAGTATTGTATCCACTAGGGCTGTATGCCAAAGGTGGGGATGGGATGATATCTGACATACGAATTTCTGTGACTTGGCTAGTGAACAAACTGGTCGATGCAGTAAGGCGCACGTGCCTAAAAGCCTCATATGCATGAAGCGGTAAGATCATAGTGTCTCTTGTATCAGCATCCAATCTAGGGCGCCTTAGGTAGTGAATCCTCCAGAAAATGACCGCTAGGCCATGCGGTAAAAGACCAGAATTCTGACAGCTCAGATTGCGCATCTCTTATAAGCTTACAGGTGGATGTGAGGTCAGAATCTCACACGATGGTGTCATTCCCCGCGCTATAATATACTGTAAACTGCACCATTGGTGTTATATTCAATTATCATGTCACTTGAGAGAGAATCGTAGAGAGTCATTTCAAATCATTGACGGCAAAACCGCACAGACAAGGGATCAACATCACCCGGAACGGGCCGGCCAATCGTGTCCATCCAGAGATGTTTCAGGCTTTCAGCATTTCGTCATTTTGAGATTGACAGCACGACGCACAGAAGGAAAATCCAATGCGAGCGGGGTAGGCTAGACCGTAGACCAAGGGGTATTGTCTCATTGGCCGCGGATAGAGTATCTTGAATAAAACTACTAGTAGTAGTAGTAAAACTTGCCGCCAAGAGAAAGCGTCCGGCAGGGTGGACGGATGTGGAGGTGAAAACATCCTGGCCAATGAGAATGGTGGCCAAGTTCAGGCCACCAGTGCCACCTAGTGAGATAGCATAGTGAGATAGCAAAGTGAGACAAAATGCTTGCAGTCGGCTAAAAAGACTGATGATAAAGATAATGTACGGAGCAGGATCCGGACTCCGCATATGACCGAGTCAGCCATTAGACCTTGAGATAGCCCCACAATGGGACACCGGTTTGTATGAAATCCGAAACTACTTACTAGTATACATGGAAATTAGCGAGCCGACCAACCAGAAATAGTCAGAGCAGACGTTGTAGCTCTGTAAGCGACTCAATCGAAGACATATTGTAAAATACCCACTCATAGTAGTGTTCTGTGTCAAATTCACAACCTTGAATCGTGGTATACACTAGTGCTAGGCGTACTGAGCGGATCTACTACGGAACAGGAAGGTGCACAGCCAACCCGACGTAGAGACTACCTACAATAGGATTTTGAGTACAAGTGTAGCAGTAGCAAGTGATAATTACGAGTGATGAGGGTTGTGTCATGAAAATGCCTTGAAATGTCCCAGCCATTATCATATCTGACAGACGTAGGCTGGGCTAGAGCCTGAAGGAGGGGAGACAAGGTACCTGAAGACCCTTCAATCCTTGAAACTAGACTTGATCCATAGTCGACGAACGTTGTTCACAATAAGAAATTGCTTCCGCTTCAAAATCTACAGATGAACGCAATAGCCAGCGCGGACCCAACATGTTCAAATATTCTCGTCTCCTTCAATCCTCAGAATGCGAAGAGAAATACCACGACCCAGTGAACGCGGCCGATGATGATAGCTTTCCAGAATTTCCTAGAGCGCAACGAGGACCGAAACATGGAATCTCCTGGTTCAGGAGATATTGGTGCTCTGTCGCTGTGCACATCGCCCTACTTTTGCTGAATGGGCTTCTAGTCACATTGTATGCCTCCATGTTTCTTATGCCCAAAACCCATTTGGGTTCTTCCAGTGAGTCAGCCCGTTCCTCGAAATGCAGAGATTATGGCTGAATTGTGTTCGGCCTTCGAAGATACTCTCCAGGATAACATAAAGCTTGTGAAGCACCGATTTGAACTTTTGGCAATCTACCGACATGACGGCGATTTGAACCCCCACAAAACGAACAACTTTAGCGGGCCGCCAAGGCCGGAGCTCGAGGAGGCGTGGGACAGACTCATGAAGAGTATGATGCTTGAAGAACCAATCCCTTTGGTATTGCAAGTGTTAACTGCTCCCTTAGATGCAGATATTAAAGTCAGCCATGCCGAGCTGGGTGAGTTTGCTGGTGATGATAGTGTTATCAAACTCAGTGACGGCAGCGGCTATTATGTGACAGTATCCGCTTTCCATGGGCTGCACTGTGTCAAACGACTCCATATGTACATCTATGCGGAGCACTATTATGCGGGACTTTCTGAGTTCGAGCTTTTCATGTTGCGACGACACACAGGCATGTTACGACAGCATGAGAATGTCCTTTGTTGGAATATGATTGTACTAACTAGACACAGAACACTGTCTAGATTGGCTGAGGCAGCATATCCAATGCCACGCAGATCCTACTTTCATTCCAATACACTGGACTACTAAGTAAGTTACCATGTAGGAATGATGTGGTTGTGTGAAACTAATGCAAAAATGACAGTGATGCCAGCCCAGTGGCATCGGATGACGGCAACCATCAGTGTGCTGACTGGAGTCAAGTTGAAGAGTGGATGGCAGAGCGCTCTTTCGATCCATTTGAGCCGGGTCTTCTCGTACACCCCATTTTCGGTAAGGGACCAACGTCCATTTTCCGACACTATTGAAACCCAGATTGTTTATACTATTTTCTGGCGCAGGAGACCCATATACGGAGAATCAAACCCATCCTGATTTGGGGGTGACTGAAATAGGCACTGGGAAGTTATTGAATAATGATGGGAAAGTGTCTGCTTAGTGGGACGGTTCGACCGGAGGAAGGCCACGTGTGACAAGTGCGATAGATTAGCTGCTTGTTCAAGAACAAGCTGAGAAGTAGTTAACTATCTTAACCGAGACGGTGGATACCTAGGTATTCGTCGTCCTGTATTAGAATTTCACAAAGCCACATGACATGATTGCTTAAGAGTCCATACTCCGGTCATATACCTCCCAAGAGGCTCTTGCATATGGTGGAGTATTTTAGGCCCACCGTCTTCGAAATCATAATGTGAATTAAAGAGGAAAGGACTACTAGCGTTGTTTTTCATGCATGCTTGGTGACTCCTAGCTGCATTACTGAAATTCACAACCATAGCCCTCGTATTTGGCTTTGCAATTTTTCCTTTCAATCTGGCGTAAGTCGTGCTTCATACTACTAGAGTAGCAAGTGGTTTTTGTTACTTTCCTCGTAATATCCCCCGCTGCCTGAAAGTACCCAGATACACTTAGGGAGGAGCTACTTGCTATCCCAGGATCTACTCCATATATCATATCACCACTCAGAGATGGACATAAATAACCTTTCAGGAGAAAACTTCGTTGCCCTTTCCCCAGTGCCATTTCACATCACCAAGGGCTCGCATCGTTCCCTAAGCCCGCCGACAAATTCATGTTCCTGCTGCCCAGCATATATCTTTCAATTTTACTATAAATACCAAAGCCAGTCATGAATCTATCCGATGATTCAAGTGTTACGGAGTCCGACAGAACCCCATTTCTTTCTAGGGAGGAGTGTGCGGTGTCATCCACAGGTGACAAGAGCGACCTATTTGCGAAGGCGCGGAAAAAGCATTACCAATGCAGCCTTTCCCAAGCTATCACATACCTGCTCGCGGTGTGGGGTTTCATCTCAGTCTGCTATAACACATACCGTTTGATTTCGACATCTCTATCTCCCCACACGCCATCACCAGACGCCGCAAAAACGCAGGAGGTAGACTCGAACCCACATGATCATCATCCGGAAGCGCTTCCACACGGACTAAATGTTTGTGACTGCGGCACCACAATTCAAGAGGCCCTTAGCCTCAACTGCATCTACGACTCCCTATCCGCAGCCTGGCTTCCTCCGTACTGCCGAGATGACGAATTAACGGCGCAGTTCGAGCGGGCTGGTCCCGGCCCCAATGGCACATGGAGCTTTTTCTATGACGAGAACGGCACGATACCCATCAGCAAGGCAGAAATTGCCACGTTGGGTGAGACGGGAGGTTCGTTCTGGGCCTCTGAGGAGTGGCACGCCGCGCACTGTCTCTTTTACTGGCAAAAATACTATAGGATGAAGGATACAGGCGTGATCCTGGAAGCCCGATTTGATAGTTTACATCATGTAAAACACTGCACTCAGCTTATCATGGATCCTGGTCCGGGTTATTTTGTCCTGATCGAGGTGCCAGTGGTGATGAACTCCAGCGCTAATGCCGTGCGGACGACAAAAGTTTCGGGTCCGATTCCAGGTCAGGCACGTTTTTAGCCTCGGCGATCGATAATTTTGGTCACAGATTGCGACTTATCTGTCGGTCGCCTGAATGATTACCCCTCTTTTGTAATTACGGAGAGAAACCGAATGAGAACTGTGTATAGAGCACTTTATAGCGCATAGTAAGCATGGTGGCTTTCGGGCTTACTCAGACTAGCTCAAGACAAGCGGTGTTCATGAGGGGAAATCGAACTTGGGCCTCGCCTGCTCCACCAGGTGAGCCGCTTGTCCTATACTAGCCTTTAAACTATATAGGATTGGTACTGTATTGGCGTTTATTTCATTCTGACACATATGGAAATCCCCTCTACAGACAGCGCATAAATTAAAACCTGATCGAGACATATTTAGCGCCTTTTGGGCATGTATTGTGTATATTCGCAAATAAATAATACTGAAAATGCCTTCGTATACCTTATCGGGCCAATGATCATTCGATGTCCCAATGTTCCTTCCAGTAGTTACATTCGAAGATGTCGGAAGAGGCGGCAAGTGAAATAAGAACGTAGAGAGGCACCTGACATTCGAGTATGCTTATCCCTCAGGTGGCCTACACCACAGATCACGCAGTCCTACTTCTTCAATCTCCAGCCTCCCATTTGACCCTAACGAATCGAATCTTGAAAGATTCCGCTTTTCTATCGAGTACGTGGCTTTTCTACCCTATAAAATTTTGAATCATGAAAGATCAAGGGCAAGGAATAACGAAAAGACATAGTAACAACTGCGGAAGCCAGTCAATGTTCCAATGCATGATCATGATGTTTCTTCGCAAAGCAAATCGGAGCGAGGTGAATATATAGCTTTGAACGAAGACGAATCTACCGAAGACCTTGAATCTCCGGTGCCTAGACGCCGGGGGATTTTGTCCGTCTCATTTTTCACCAACCCTCTTGTATATGCACCTTTAGCAATTGTTTTCGCGGGAGCAATTGTATTCTTCTGGATGACCCGTACCGGAAATCAATATAAATACACAGATTGCGGAGTGACTCCTGACGAAGCACGAGCACGAGGTTGCGTGTTCGAGCCGATGCAACGCGCTTGGATCCCTCCAGAGTGCTATTTTCCGGAGCCAGGGGAAGACTACGACACCTTTCAGGACAGACAGTGGTACATGGACCCCAATATGACGATTGACGCTGATGTAGAGAAGTTGGAGGCTGGGGAAGTGTCCGTAGCCTATACGCGCTACTGGCATGACGAGCATTGTACCTATCTTCTCCGAAAGCTCGCCCTTGCGGTCTCTATGGGGAAGAAAATGATCAATTCGAAGGCTTTGGATATTGAGCATTCAAATCATTGCGCACTGGCCATAGCCGAGAGACTGGCTAGCTCGTACAATGTCTCCTTTGTGGAAACTGACCGTTCCTTCACGGAGAGCCATTTGGGGTTCGAATGGTGCCTACCACTCAAGGTAAGTTCTTTCTATGCGATCCTGGACCCCTTGGAAATATTACTTTCCTGTTAACCTTTCGTCTTGCTTCAGACTGTCGTTGGCCCGGATAAGGCTGTTCCAGTCTACCCCAAGGGTTCAGAAAAGAATTAAGTTCTGCCACCATCATAGTTAAGCGGGGTTGGCAAAGCAACGAGGACTTATCTTCGCAATGGATTCCAATGCTGGCTACCGTCTACTTCCACAAATTAAAACGTCATCCAATGAAATGGGTCTGCAATGGCAATCCCATGCCATTCATCGGCACTGTTTGCCATATTATGGCTCTTCTCATTATTGCATCGTAACTGAATATCTAAACCTTGATATTCTTGTCCTAGTGCACCGATTGGGACTCGTTGATACGGCAGCCCTTTCCATTTATGCGGAAGATACAAAGTAGATAACTCAAAGATACTTATTACCGGCCATTTCAAGTAGTCAGCAAGTAGAATTCGCTCCTTCTGTGTCGTCCTCACCAAAGCGATGCCATGGGATGCAAGGAGACACCCTCCCAATAGTATCCACGTGACATACCGAAACGAGTCGTACCGCCCAACCTCGCTTACCGCTAGCGCCTTCCGGAGTCCCCACCCAATCCTATATAAGCAACTCCCCCCCGGCTCCCTTTTAAACTTTTTTCTTCTTTCTTTTCTTCATACTTACCTTGTTTGGGTGACTGCGATCAAGAAGGCGGTTCACCACGGATTGGTCCCTGCATTGCACAGCGCGGCGGAACAATCCGTTCAACGGCCTACGGGTCATTGACAGGCGTATTCTTTGGCACTTCTCCTTTTGGAGCTTTCATTTTCTTTTCATCAGTTCTTGGGCCAGTGGCTCGAGGGTGGAGAAGAGAACATTGTAGCAGTAGACAGCTCTAGTCAAGTGGTGGCATTATACCAGCGAATAAGATGCGTAGCAGCCTGTGACGGAAGTAACTACCGACTGGAAGGCAATCATATCCGCGATCTTGGAGCTCGTACTGCGTACTTGGTTGCTAAGCCACGGTGGCCTATGACGTTGCGGAAAACATCTCGCCACTCCGGCGCACATAAATAAGTAAACAACGTCTCAACCGGCCCATCGCCGACATAGTACCTGTCTATCTATCATACTTCGAACAAGTCCACTTCTTTATTCCCATCTCTGAAAGCAAATCATTATCCAATCCTCCTGATAATGCCTCACAAAGACACCAGCTCGGTGCCTAACCGCACAGACGGAATTTCTGATTCTTCCGTCAACCGCCTCGCAGCCACGGGAAATACCCTCGGCGAGTCCGCCTTTGGCTCAGGCATGGACCGCAACAGTGGTACGATACCCGAATACCTGTCCACGGGCTCCGAAGATCTCAGACCTTTGAGCAAGGAGGAAGCGGAGAGATTATACGAGGAGAGAATGGAGGAGGAATACGCGAAGCGGGAGGGAGGTGCTTAATTGGGTTCTTTGATTTGATAATAACCTCTACGGAGTATTGTGTATATATATATCAGATTGACCTGCACAACCGTCATGAACCGGAAGTAAATACTAATTGCTCTGATTGATCAAGTAAACGTAAACGTGCCTTTCGTAGTGGATGCCACTCCCTGGGGAAAAAAAAGGCTAAGTGAAGCATTATATATAAAAAACAAGGGTGCCAACAGCGCGATTCGAACCCGGCACCTCCTCGACAGCGTATATTGCACGAGACACTTCTACCTTCATATGAAGCCTGTAAAAGTTGCAAAAAAAACTGGTAGCTTCTCTTTGATTGAGCGTGTCATCCTTAGTGCAGGGGCCATGCTAATCTTCTCTGTATCGTTTCAAATTGACCAAATGCCCGAAGGCAACAGTACTTCTTTACGATGAATTATATAGGAAGACCGGGTACTATCTTACGCTCCTGATTGGCCGTTAAGCGAGCCGCCGGGAACACCAAAGCTGCCTTCACCCCGCGCTGTTGCCTGAGGACGCACAGTGTAGTACGGTGTCGGTCGGTCGTCGTGATCGCGATGAGCACGTTCTACATCGGTGTCGAGCAGGTCCAGTCGATATATCATGGACAGAGGATAGCAAGGTCTGCCGTGTATGCTCTTTGAAGATCGTCAGAGTGCTACGGAGCCTCTTTGGCATATGCGCCTGAACCTGGCGTGTCAGCAATCGTGCTCATTTGGAAGCGTAGCTAGGCCACAAGAAGTAAAATCGCAAAGCTGCAATAATGGGGAGACGAAAGAAGCAAAGCAAGCATAAGCCACCATTTGTGATATTATTAGCACTCGAGACTATGCTCAAATGCCCAAGCACAAGGTGGAATAGAAGAAGAAAAGAATAAGGCGAATAGATACTCCTAGTCGCAGTCGCCCATCGGCTCCGGTGGCCCCTCCTATTCCTCTTGCGGCGAGATCGGCTATAGGCCGGCCTCAACAACACTCCATCTAGCGGAGTACTTCAGGTATAATCGACCACTCTCAATCGCATATTGCAAATAGAGTCCACCATGATTAAGCATATTTGCACAACGGAGTTTCTATAATGCTGAGTCTACGTCATTAATGCTACGAGCTGGAGACCTGTGTTTGGGATCAACTCAACCACCCCAACGGCGCAGCTGAACCGGATCTACGGAGTAGATGCCTACGATTTACCGCGGGATGGCATATGCCTTTGTCTTTCCTCTTCAATCTCTATCAATCCAATTTTGGGGTACAAGACTAATGTGAAGCAGATTATTGGGAGTGAAGTGTTCACCTCGTTTATAGGTGCTATTTCCTCTCCAGCTTTGATATGCACTGCTACAAACCCAGGTCCCGGTGTCTGGATACGACGCAGATCGCTGCTTTGGCTCGGAAAATTTCTCATAAAGTACAATTGCAGGCAGTAAGGCTACTTAGGTAGTCCAGAGAAGGCAATGATAGATAGTAGCTTGAATATATAACTTGCTTCTCCCACAGCCCTTTTCCAACTCCCCCAACATACACTTCCCCCTCGCATCAATCAACCTACCAATCACACTCAAAACAATCACTATACCATACTATTACCAATCAAAATGCGCTTCACAACTCTATCTGTGCTACTTCTATCAACCCTAGCACTGGCATTCCCAGAATCTGACCCAGCCATCGAAAAGCGAGACGACACGACCGACTCAGACATGCCCAACCCCTTGAGTAACCTGTACACCTACCTACATACCTACATATTCCTTACTCTCAACTCCCATCTAGTATCTAGCTAACGAGCCATCAAATCTCACAGAGCCAACCCAACCACTACAATGCCCACCCTCTTCCCCGAAGTGCCTACCTCTATCAGATCCGACCTGATCACTGAAGTCCCTACCTCTGTCATCTCCGAGATGACGAACCCGACGGCTTGGTCATCAGTCGCGAGTGAGTGGAGAGACGGAATCGTTCCGTCTTGGTACAGTAGTTTGAATGGGGATGTGAAATCGTATTTTTCGACGGCTTTTGAAACGGCTTCGCCTTCCACCTCGTCTTCGCATGGTGGTGCTGGGCCTGGGGCTCCGAAGCCGACGGGTATGGCGGGGATTATGGGTGCTGCGGGCATTTTAGGGATGGCGATTGTTTTGTAGGTTTGTTTGGGTCACTTTTATGTGTATTTTCATGACGTTTGAGGGAGGGAGGGATGGGTCGTGAGATGATAAATCCGCCTATTTCCTGGTTTCTAGCCGAACGCGCCAGAGCAGAAGAAATAATATGATTCCTGTATGAGAATGGTTTTTTCGCCGAATGATATGATCCTGGCTATACTTTCTATGAAGTGGTAAGCACCAGGGATCTGTGGGACTTGCCAACATGTGAATTACATAGCTTTCTAATATTACTAGATACTATATTTACTTTTCTAAGAATGGTAAATATGTCAGTACAGTTCATTGGCTATACTATATAGAGACCGTCACTGACTGTAAGAATGTCAGCATTCGTGAACTTTCAACAGGGAAGAGCTTTTACCTGAAAATATCATATTATTTCCTGTATGAGAATGGACTATAACCACTAAGTAATAGTAAACAGGAATGCGCCTCTCTCTCTCTCTCTCTCTCTCTCTCTCTCTCTTTTTTTTTTTTTTTTTACTTGACTACTCTTTTTACTTGATTACTACTTTTGTAATTAAAATAAGTCTTACTGTTGTTTCTGAAGAGCTTCAACATATCTTATAAAATCGTCCAGCCAGAGATCTTTCTTTCCCTTAACCCAACTACTGAAGAGTAGAGCAAATACCTTAATTTTCCAAATAGAGTCTACTATATTGCAGTTACTCAAAATAAGATTATACAGCGAATCCGGGGTTTTTCTCACTTTCTCATTTACACCCATACAAAGACTACAGGAGTTCCGTAATCAGTCAAAAGCAGAACTAGAGCCAGAGCCAGAGCCAGAGCCAGAGCCAGAGCCAAAAACTTCAAAATCTCAAGCTAAGGTTCTGGTATCGAAGCCTTCACCATTCATTTGGCATCTCAAATTATACAAACCCACTGGATCACTTGACCACGGGCTTGCTGATCTAAAGGCTCGCATGCAAAGACCCTCGCAAACGACCTGCAAAACGGCCTCTCCAACGACTTCGCGTACGTCTGAATCTACGCCCGAAACACAGGGGAGCCACGTACCCTGTCAGAATCTTGAGCTGAATGGGCTAATCATGCAGGCCGCGATGCCATGCATATATTGTCTTCCGGTCATTGGGTGTGGACGGAAGAGGATGGGAAACTAACTGTAAATGCTTAGCCCTAGTTTCTTCCCCTCAGGAAAAAGCAACCATGCTCGTAATACGTCGGAGAAATCCCACATCGCCCCCTTACCCCTCAAACACATTTGATCATTCGTTTCATCTGAAAGAGACCAAATGCCCCAGGGGTCTCAAGATGGTTCTCCGGGGTCTCCGGGAGCGCTTTCACAAGCATCGCCTCAGGCATTCCTCCGCAGATTCATCTACACTGGAATCCGGCCGTAGCTCACAGCAATCCCAGAGTAACCAGAATCAACCAAATTCCTGTGTGGCAGCCCCAGATAGTCCCAAGGATCTATGGCAAGAAGCCTTCGACAAACTCGACCAGCCCGCCCGAGACAAACTATGTTCTATCCGAAATGCGGACGGAGGCCTTCACGCCCGTCCTGAGGAACTCCTCCAGTCCATAGTCCAGACCACACAGCGGCAATACGATGAGGAAGAAAAGCGAAACGGGGAGAGCAAGACTCGTCAGCTACGGGTGTATGCCCACAAGACTCTCAGCGCCGCCTTGTCCTTTCAGAGTGTCATAAGCGCAGCGGCAGCTTGCGATCCGACGGGACATGCGACCACGGCATGGACGTTCGTGTCCCTGGCGCTCACGGTGAGTTTCAATCATGGCTTGGGTCAGATCTATTTTCGGGCCTAAACAAGAAATCCAGCCGTATATGCTAATATGGTTGTCTTCTTTCCAGATGGCCAAGAATCGACATGATTTACGCGAAGCCGCATTCGAGTCTTCTGGATTCATCGCCGACACGCTCGAGCGATATGCCGTTGTGGAGATGTATTGTCGCCGTTCGGTAAACACCGACACGCAGGTCCCGTTGGAAAGATTGTTCATCGACACCTATGTCGCCATCCTAAAGTATACTGCAGAGATGGTGACGGTTCGGCAGGCGAACGTCGGCAGGATGCTTCTTCTAAGTATTACCGCCCTGAAGGACCAGCCGCTGAGCACGCTCAAGTCCGCCATTGCGGAGCAAGATGAACAGCTCGACAGTTGGATGCGGCTGGACCAGTACCGTCGTCGGGATGATGAAGCGGAGAAGCTACTCACGCAGATTGACGTGATCGCTGCCGATGTCCAAAGCTTGATCCAGGATTTTGAGGTCGCCAAGCTTGTGGTTGCCGACGGAGCAGCATATGACTCCTATGCCAACCAACTCAATGAGGGGTGCCTCGAAAACACCAGAACCAGTCTACTCCGGCGGATCATGGCGTGGGCGGAATCGCCAGATGAGAAGTGCATTTTCTGGCTGAATGGCATGGCGGGGACCGGCAAATCCACAATCTCAAAGTCTGTTGCACGGAAATTACAAGATAAGAACTACCTCGGGGCAAGCTTCTTCTTCAAGAGAGGCGAGGCTGATCGTGGAAACGCAAGCCGATTTTTTGCCACGATTGTTGAACAACTGATTGTCCATGAGCCCCGATTGATCCCGCGCGTTAGAAAGGCGATACAACGTGACTCAAAGATCGCCGCGAAGGGCCTTGTACAGCAATTCGACGAACTCCTCCTGAAGCCCCTCTTGGCCCTGAATGATGATCTTTCGCAGCATTTGGTGTTGGTTTTGGTCATTGATGCACTGGATGAGTGCGACAAGATTGAAGACGTGCAGCAGTTGATTTCCCTTCTTCCCCGGATCCAAGAGTCAAAAGCGATCCGACTCCGCGTGTTCATAACCAGTCGTCCAGAATTTATCATCAAAACAGGATTCAGAAAATTATCTAGAGATGACCATGATGACGTAGCCCTGCACGAAATACCTGCCGAGACTGTTGAGCAGGACATCTCGTTGTTCATACGAGACAGACTGTTGCAGATCCGGACGGAACGACAATTGCCGAGTGAAGACGACTATAACTGGGCTGACGAGGACGACGACTTCTCCAAATGGCCAGAGGAGAGCGAGGTTGCGCAGCTGATTCAAATAGCCCTCCCGTTATTCATCTCTGCCGCCACCATGTGCCGATTCATCGAGGATCCATTGAAAGACCCAAGAGACAGGCTGAGGATAATCCTCGAGAATCAACCCGCATCCCACATATCAGTGTTAGGCAAGACATACCTTCCCGTATTTTCTTCAATCTTAGCATTTGAAGATAAAAGTGAACACGCACAGACAGTGAATGAATTCAAGAGACTGATCGGGCCTATTATCATCCTCGCCAGTCCACTGTCGGTCAGCGCCCTGGCATGTCTTCTCGGGATACCAAAATCCACAATCAGCCGTCAATTGAGCTTCCTTACCTCTGTGATCTTCGTACCGAAGGACAAAGGCCAGCCCGTGAGGCCATACCATCAATCCTTCCGAGATTTTCTGCTCGCGGCGGAGACTCGCGAAGAGACCCCGTTCTGGGTAGATGGTGAAGCGATGCATCGGCACGTAGCTCTCTGCTGCATACGAGTCATGGAACGATCGCGGACCGGCTTGCGGAAGAATTTGTGCAACATACCGAGTTATGGAACTTTGCGTTCGGAGATCGACAGGGAGAAATGTAGTCAAAATATATCTGAAGAGCTCAGATATGCGTGCCGATATTGGATTCATCATCTGCAAAGGGGAAAGGTTGCTCTACGAGACGGTGACGAGACTCACCAGCTCCTAGAAAAACACCTTCTGCACTGGATTGAGGCGATGAGCATCTTAGGCTATATATCTGAGGTTGTGGTCAATATCAACATTCTGCGGAAGTTGTTAGAGGTAGGTCTCAATCTCAGACGCCGCCGAAAAAAACAAAAACAAAAAAGAAACGAAAATTTTTTTCTGATCAAGGTTAAATAGGTGCAGGATGAACCATTGCTGTCCGGATTTCTCTATGACGCTCACCGATTCATTCTGAAGAACTTAGGGATTGCCGAGAAGGCTCCGCTGCAGCTATACGCTTCTGCACTTGTGTTTGCTCCGCAAAAGTCTCTCATCAGAAACATATTTGCGAGGTATATACCTCCAGCTATTTCTCGGCTGCCAAATGTGGGATTGGAGTGGGGACCAGGATTGCAATCTTATGAAGGCCACAATGGGAGGAGCATAATAGGGGTGGCATGCTCGCCAGACGGCGAAGTCATTGCTTCGATGGATAAGGTTGGAACGATCATACTTTGGAGTACGGTCACAGGAACCATTCGCCAGAGCTTCAAAGCAATCGACGACAAAGACGAACTGCCCAAAATACAGCCAGGTGATAGTAAGCTAACGTTCTCTCCCGATGGTAAATTACTGGCATCGGTGTTCAAAAAAGAAAGCGGCATCCAACTATGGAAGGCGCCCACGGGGTTACTGCACGGAGAGATTCCCAAATATCTTTGGTGCCACAATCGACCAGCTTTTACCCCTGACGGTACGACAGTTCTCTTACAGGACATTTCCACCAACCCCCACACATTAGGCCTCTGGAATATCGCCCAACGTGCGTTCCATCAGACACTGGAGGGTCAGATTGATGAGCTTCTGGCATCAGCAATCTCACATGACGGCCAGATAGTTGCAACTGGGTCCGATACAGGTATATTGAGGTTATGGAACCCGGCTTTGAATCTGACAGTGCAATCACAAATCAAAGTATGTGATGGTTCTATCCAATCTATAGCCTTTTCACCTCGCGACGACCTGCTAGCATCGTGCTCTGGCCATGTCGGGGCCAAGGTATGGAATGTAAAAGATGGTTCGCTAATTCACTCTCTTGACGATCTCTCTTTATCGGTGGCATTCTCATACAATGGTGAATTGGTCGCCTCTTGCAGCTGGTTTGGCACAGCTAAACTATGGAACAGTACTTCAGGGAAGTTAGAGTACGAGCTGAATCGTGTTCGCACTTTCGCTTTCTCTCCCAATGGCGAATTTGTTTCTGGTACGGGCGATGGCATTGTACGCCTGTGGGACTTACGAGTCGGCAATCGAGACTCGACTCCCTTTTCTAATTCCAACTCGGCTCTTTCTGTACATGCCTTACCCGGTTGTGAACTAAACTCGGTTCTTTCGATTACTTATGACGGCTCAAAACTCTGGGATATCCCCTCAGGCACTCCACAGCATCAGCTCGAAGCTCTCGAAGATCCCATTTTTGATCCTAGGTTCTCTGACGACGGCCGTCTCATTGCAGGTGTTGTCAATAGAACAGTCAAGGTCTGGGATACAGGCAGTGGGAAACTAATCCGGGAGTTGCAGATCACGGATATTGAGGATTGGGGTATTGACGATTACATCAACGTGGAGATTGCCTTCCGGCCGGATGGCAAGATCATTTCATGGTCCCTGGACAGCCTGGAGTTTCAGGTATGGGACCCATTTTCGGGGAAACAAATCGAAACTTTCACCGACTCAATTGAGCTGTGCTCTTTTATAGTCTCCCATGATGGTCACCTGCTAGCTGTCACTGACGGTAGGAAAGTCAGCATTCGTGAACCTTCAACAGGGAAGCACTTCTACCTAGAGAAATCATTTGAATCCTGTTTGATGATGGCCTTTTCGCCGAACGACATGATCCTGGCCACTCTTTCACTGAGCCGTGGTAACCTCATTGTGGATTTGTGGGACTTGCCAACACATGAATTGCGTAGCTCTCTCAATGTCGCTGGACGCAAAATTCAATTTTCCGAGGATGGCAAATGTTTCTGTACTGGTCATGAAATATATCACATAGAAACCGACGCTGAGGGGCATTTGGTCTCTGTAGCTGCTGATGTTGATCCAATACGTGTGAAAGATGGATGGGTGTGCCTCGGTGAGGATAAGGTTCTCTGGCTTCCTGATGAATATCGGCCAAAGAGCGACTGCGAGAATCTTTGCATCAAAGATTCTACATTTGTGCTTGGATCTCATTCCGGCCATCTCTTATTTATTGGTTTTGACATGCATGCTAAACGATATGCTTGATGTATATTTGATCTATCTGATCTCAAGAGGGTGGTTAGTTGTTGAGGTGGTGGTCGGAGACCACGCAGGAAGAAGAGGCAAAGGATCAGCTGACCCGGGCTGGAGTGAATGTCTTAAGAATTCTGCTGAATAGATCCTAATGATGTTCCTCCACGAGCTTCCCCCGTGTTTCGGGCGTAGATGTAGACGTACGCGAGGTCGTTGGAGAGGCCGTTTTGGGGGTCGTTTGCGAGGGTCTTTGCATGCGAGCCTTTAGATCAGCAAGCACGTGGTCAGGCGATCTAGTGGTTCCTAATGATTTGAGATGCCAAATGAATGGTGACGGCTTCCACTGGAGAACATGTTTTGGATAATAGTGTAGAATGTTAGGCTGTTTGTTTCTTTAGAGTGGCTGGGGGTGCGAGGAAGTGTGTGATCTGGATTCCGAGATAGGTGTAGTTGATACGATGGTGAGTTTAAGTGATAGTGGTGGAAGGGTTGCTATGATATAGTAATAATTGGATAGCATATAGCTTGGCTATGTTGGATTTAGGTTGGTTAGACTGGATAAGTAGACTGGGCAGTGTATAGAAGGATTCATTATTGACATGGGATGCTTAAGACTGAGATCTAAGTCTTCAGATTTATTAATATCATGGGAAGCCAGAGAACTATACAGTACACACAATATTCCCATTTTTAGTCTGACACATATCTACCATCGACTAGCCGGATATGATTCAAGATTAAGAGGCTTAGCCATAGCATAAGCCATAAACAGCCTTGCATACTTAGCACGATGGAAATAACTGAACATCACCATTCACTTCACGTATATTTCAGGACGCTTGTTTCTGCCATCAGCTGAAGGGCTCTGTTGATAGTTACAAGGGAACACTCCCCTATATGCAAATGAATGCATTTTGCTTTGGTTTCCAATTCCAAATCCAATACTAGGAGGTGCGGTGCGGAGTTAAAAAGGCTTACTCCACTGGTAAATCAAGCATCACAAAGTTAATATCGTAAACCCGAGATGATAGCGGGCGCTCTTGCTGATCGCGGCTTTCGGCCCAGACCTGCCCTTGGTGAAACCGGGTCGAAGGCGGGTCAGAGCGTTTAGTGATCTTCGTTAGGTGGATTCAATGATGTTCAGGGCGAAATCCCAAATATTGAGAGTATCTCAACCCTCATCCGTAGTTATTCAGAGGAGTAAGCTCAACAACATGTTCGGTATGCATATCTGACGAGAGATGCCTGGCTGACCCTCTGTATCTCTCCCAAGCTTTTCCCAAGCCCATCCATGGGACGTAGAACCCGAATCGTCTAGCTCCAGCAAAGCCAAGCTCTGCAGACACGGCACAGCTATGAAGATGAGGCACCTAAAACAGATCGCCCTACAATTACGTCAATTGCTTTACAGTGCAGCAACAACAAGTGCACGATGGTACACAGCGTGCCGCGTCTCACCCTGAAAATTTAGACTGGTGTTGAGCATTGGCCTCCTGGTCAGATATTAGCTGCATCGCCACACCTACTTTGCTGGTGATTTCGGTGTATTCCCCCTCTCGGACTGCTCCCAATCCGCATCGGAGACCGACAAATCTGCATCCAAATGCGTAATCGAGCAGCAACCTTGCTGCAGCTGGCCAGTCAGTGTCCTGGTAAATGTCAGCGGTGCTCTCTGAAAGCCAATCAATATCGGTGTATTGGCTTAACCCCGAGGGGCTGCTGGAGCTTTGCGCCGAGATCTACACCCGCTGACAATTACGCGGCTTGTGATTGGCCCACACCAAGGCAGCCTGGAAGGGTCTGGAGAACAATCAGAAAAAGTCGATGCTGGCTGCCACAGGAGGAGTTCCTTATAAATATCGGTGCTTCCAGAAGATTTTTCTTCTAGCTGAAACCGTCATCCAAATCAAATATTTGAAGTCTATCAAGCTTCTTTCTATCCCGTCTGGACTTTGTTTGTCTCGTCCAGCTTCGCTCTCTCGCGAGAATCCCTCAGCCTTACCGGAATTGTTGAGAGGGTCTAGATTCGGCCACCGACTCGGCTTCTGACGTCAGGCCTGAGGCAGCCCGCAGCAGCCCAGTCAATATACAATGGCGCTATTATTTCTGAAGCAGAAGCTCTTCCCGAGCGAAAAGCAAAAACAGGCCCTTCCATATGGTCTGTCCGCCTGCAAATGAATAACTTCAACCGAACTCGACTGACCAAAACAGGCAAACCACTACTTTCCAATGAGGAGACCGATACCCTGCCGAGCGAACAAGATCTCGAAGCTCAACGGTCTTACTCTACCTTCCGCGCCTCATCTCCCGTTTCCGACACCGACAGCACCGCCGCCAGCACTAGCAGTTCGCGATCACGTATCAACCCGCGTATTGTATCGGATGCCATTCTAGGTTTATCCGATGGCTTGACGGTACCGTTCGCGCTGAGCGCTGGTCTCTCGGCGCTGGGTAACACTAAGGTCGTTGTGCTTGGTGGATTGGCCGAATTGACAGCGGGTGCCATCTCCATGGGCCTGGGAGGATATGTTGGTGCGAAGAGCGAAGCGTAAGTTTCCTACTTCAGTATAACTCTCCCGTTCAATTCTAATAGCAAATAGTGAATCCTACGAGACCACCGTACGTGAAGCAAAAGAACTCATCGACACATCGCCAGCCGAAACCAGTTCCATCGTCCAATCCATCTTCGCTTCCTACCGTCTCCCCGAAGATGTCATCAATCAGATTAACATATCCCTCCACTCCTCTGAAGACCGCCTCCTCGACTTCCTGGTCAGCTTTCATCACAAGGAATCTGAGCCTGACTGCAACCAGGCGTGGATCTCCGCCATCACACTCGCGCTCGGCTACTTTGTCGGTGGTTTCATTCCGCTCATCCCATATTTCATCGTCGACCAGGTGATCGTGGCATTGTACATGAGCATCGGAGTCATGGCAATCACGCTGCTGGCCTTCGGATACATCAAGACATGTGTAGTGCGCGGCTGGTCCGGGCGCGACAACGTCGTCGCAGGCATCAAGGGAGGAATACAAATGTGTTTCGTGGGCGGAGTCGCAGCTGGAGCAGCCATTGCCTTGGTCCGGTTGATCGACACCGGCGGAGCGTGATCTCCCAACTGCAAAAGTTACCCATCCCATCATCTCATGCCATAACGATTGTACATTATTAGATACCACCACCACCACATCATAGAGCGAGTCTTTGAAACCCCCAAAATTCTATACTCTAATTCATATATAAACCAATCCACAAACCAACAATTATATATAGTAGAAAAGAAAAGAAACAGGACCTAAGCCCCATTCACAGCTCTAGTAACCAACTCATGTGGCCTCCCCTCCATCTTCAACCCGCTCGCCAACTCCTTCCCCCGATCCGACATCTTCTTCAACGTCTTCGTCAAAATATCCACCACCTTGTTATCATCATAATTCTCTTGAAACTTCTCGAACTGATCATCCAAAAATACCAAACACGCCACATCCTCCAAAATCTGCGCCTCCGCATCCTCCCCGCCCTTCAACCCTTCCTTCCGAATCAACCGGCCCACGCGCTCCGCCTCTGCCTCCCCAATGCCACTCTCCAGACACACCTTCATCGCTATCTCAGCCTGGCGGCGCGCCACCGCCGTCCGCCAGGAATAGTATTTACCGTCGGGGTAAGTCCCCCGCGGTACTTCCCAGCGCTTGAGATGCTGAGCGCGGATGGCGAGTTGGAGGACCGGGGAGGGGTTCGGGGTGTGTTTGTACAGATAGCTGGTCATTTTCTCGGCGTAGTGTAGTTCATAGGGGATGTTGGTGTTGGTGAGTTTATTGGGGTCTTCGGAGTGAAGGGCGTCGATTTTGGTGAGGGCGGTTGTTAGGGGGTCCATCATGAATTTTTTTAGGGAATTGAATCGGGAGGGTTGTGATTGCGGTGGGTATATATATGTATATATAGTATGTATATAAAGTATGTATAAGGGATGTAAAGAATGGAATTGTACAGGGGTAATGTGTAGAGAGGCGACGTAGGTGATGATTTATTGATTCATGGATTCCGACCTCGGGGTTGCCGTTCAGTGCACCGCATCAAATACCGGTTGCGGGATTGGCTGGCGGGTCGGCATTTGGGTGGGTTCGATTCTTTTCTGTATGAGGGTGGGGGGAGTGCTGATAAGCGATAAGGAGTCACACCCCACATGGTAGGTTGGGTTTTGGGGGTGTCTAAAATTGAGTTAATAAGGTGTATATGTGGAAGATATAGGGCTTTAGGTGAGGCCGCGGAGATGTGCATTATCTCTGGGGCACAATAGGCATTGTTCTTTGTGTATTCAGAGTCCGATGTTCTAAGGTTCTGACTGTCTTTTCTATTTGAACATACGCATAAGTACTGGTAGACATAGTTTCAGTCGACATGATTGGAGGTGATCTTTATTCGCATAGAAATGTGTAACGACCTGGCTAAAGTCCTTGATATTAAGACTCCTTTAGTTCACATATGAAAAGGTAGATTGAGGTTCTTAAGACGTCTTGTAGCTCGGTGGTAGATCCCCCACGTACTATTGAGAGTTCTTTCAGAAAGAGTGTATGTGCAGGGAGTCTTTCTATCAATGTCATTTAATCAGGCTAAGATATACTTTCTGCACCATATAGTGTCTAGTAGCATACCCTCTCGGTCTGTCTGATGCCAGGGTCAAGACGTGGGGCACCTGATGGTCAAGGCATTTCTGCTACTAAATGGGAACAGTGCCGATATCTATAGAGTACTAATTCTGCAGGGCAGCCCCAACAAATCGAGTAAATGTAAGAATACTATGCTAAAAAGCAGGACCGCTCGCACAATGGTATCGACGCTTAATGTATAGGCGAAGCATGGAGAAGCTTGTGCACATATATTATGATTCGGTTAAGCTGGGCCCCGTAGCTATCACAGAAAACCTCCATACTACGTCTACCTCTACCGGTCATTTGCCATGTCATGCCTATATCTCACGGCTGCGATGCAGTATTGAAAGAAGTTAAGATAGGCACCTATTCCTCTCATTGACAAAGTACGCTGATGAGACGAAGATTCAAGTCGACACTGCAAGTCAAAATGTCTATTATCTTTTAGTGTAAGAATGCGGGATAGGATCAGCGGCCAACCCTCATATGATCATCTTCTATATATACTGTGTACTGCGTAATACACCTTTCATCTTCATACTAACAGTGTCTCGGACTCTCTATGGCTGCGGGGTTAACGCATGGTGGGTCTTTAATATGTAGTAGAGATGTGGCAAAGTCCAATAATAATATTGTTATCAAGTCAACCCCGCTTCCATGTAATTAATCCAACGCAGATCTTGATATTATTCAAAGCCGAGTGAGGATGCTGCAAATTCGGCTTCCGGAACTCCCGATTGCAGTTCGGAAATACGGATGGATTCTCAACTTCAACACAATCGCTACAACGAGCGGCAGATATGACAGAGGTATCAACCTCGGCATCGAACATCACAGACATAAAGTGGAGCTTTTGCAGTAGGAAGATAGAGGGCCTATAAACATCCAAATCAGTATGATGCAACTGCTACTGTGCGGGGTGTATCCCACTACGGATATAGCCAATCCAGTACTTACTATATAGTAGACCTAGTACACACCATGAATGCATATCATGAATTGCAAGTCCATAAAACACCCCAGCATAATAACCACACTCAATATACCACCACCAATTGAAAATGATCCAAACCCACCACCGCACCGCCACCCCGAAAGGCCTCTCCTCCATCACCGCCCTCCTCACCACCCCCGGCGCATCCCTCCTCATCGACCCCCCCTTCCTCCTCGCAGATGCCCAGTCCACCATACACTGGATAAAATCCCTAACTCCCCACGCCCCCTCCGCCATCTTCCTCACCCACCACCACCCAGACCACTTCTTCTCCGCGAACCCCATTCTGGCCGCCTTCCCAGACGCCAAATTCTACGCCGCTCCCTACGTCTGCTCCCGCATCAACGCCGAATACGACCAGAAAGCCAAATACTGGCCCGCGGTGCTCGGCATCGACGCCGTTCCCGCTGCGCCCCGCAAGCCGGACCCGTACTTGTCTAGCTTCTTCTTGCTGGACGGGTCTCCCGTTGTGCTGCTGGGTCCGGTGCAGGGCGATTGTGTGGATCAGACGGTTTTTTGGGTCCCCGAGAGTAGGACGGTTGTTGCGGGTGATGTCGTGTTTGGGAGGAGTGTGCATGCTTGGTATGTTTTTCTTTATTTCCTGTCTCTTTCTTCAGAAAGTTCCCCTTCTTGGTTAAACTTTCGGAAAGGGAGGCCCAAATTAAGACTAATTGGCTGGCTTATATCTACAATATCTACACATACATCTACTTACGGGATTACAATATCCAGGGTCGAAGAACTCGAATCACCCGCTCTCGTGCAATCATGGCTCAAAACCCTCGACATGATCGACCACCTACACCCGCAGAAGATCATCCCAGGTCATATGGAAGAAGGATGGGAGTTGGATGTCAAGGCGGATCTAGACCACACGAGGCGCTATCTACGGCTGTTTGCGGAGAAAGTCACCTATGCGTCTGGCAGTGGTGGTAGCAAACCTTCTGTGCAAGAGCTATATGATACCTTCCGGGAGGCGTTCCCCGAGTGTCGGGAGAACCTGGATTTCTTTTTGGGACATATGGCGAATCGGTTTGGCCAGGGGGGAAAGGTATGGGAGGAGAATCGGCATGAAGATGTCGGGGAGAGGACTTTCGAGGATTTGAATGGGTACTGGTTTGGGTGAATTCCTTTTCTCTCTTTCTATTCTCGGCTTGGGTTATAGAGGGAGGTGTTGGTGGAAGGTATGTGTATGTATCTACTACTACTACTACTACTACTACTACTACTACTACTACTACTACTACTACTACTACTACTACTACTACTACTACTAAGCGAGGGAGAGTAAATACGGGGTAAGAGAGGGTGTCTGGGCTGTGTCGGTGTCAAGGTGATTGTAGTGGTTTGCTTCTATGCCTCCAGCTCTTATTTAGTATCCACAATGGGAACTGAACTACCCACGTTTAACGTAGATGTCATTCCTATCCATCTAGTATTGTATCACACAAGCATCGTCGATGCTAAGCTAGAATTCTGTACTGTCACGCCCAAGCAATCCGCCGCACATCAACAGACTCAAAAAAAGAAATACATGCTCTTCCAGTGGCGGGCGATGTCCATCTGGCACAAGAGAGAAGAAAAGCTCAAAAGACGGCATCGGAGTCTGTCGAGATAGCCAGCAGGAAACACAGCGAATAAAAAAATTGTCATTACAACTCCAGCTCCCAGTCTGTCTGGGAGCACAAAGACAGAAAAGAGTGCAAGCAAAGAAACAGGCAAAAACCGTGCCGCAACAAATCATAGCTCCTCCAACGCCGTCCCATTGTGAAAGCCGGGTATATCCAGCACCGTGATGCAAAATTTGTACGGAGAATTAACAGATATGGCGAGGACATGACTATAGGTCAACCGAATCTGTCCAGCATTTGGCAATGCCAGATACAGATCCAACAGAGTCTAGCCCTCGCCTTCAGAACAAGGACCCTATGCATGAAGCAAAGCCAAGAAGGCAGAGAAAAGAAACGAACAAGCCACAAAGCTTTTCATCCCATCAAGTTTCCGTCCCGTTCGTTTACCTGGCCCCGATCCCAAACATACCAACCCCGTAACTTCCACCTCGGTCAGGTAGAGGGGTAGATATCTTCGAAACGTGGTCCTTTTCGAAAAATAAGCGAATGTGATCAGTATGTTAGAATGCCATTTCACCGTCCGAACGCCCTACCTTCTTCCGTTTTTTCTTCCCCATGCCTTCACTGTTTGAATAAAATGCCCCATCGTCATCATCGTCTGCGTAACCTTCGCCGTAACCAACAAAGCTGTTGTCGTCGTAATGCCGTTTACGTCCCCTGCTGGGTCGGGATCGCTCTTGGTCTGAAACAGGCGCTGGGGTTCCATTCGGTTGGGGAATCCGGACTCCGTTGGGAGGGGGTGCGACACCCTTTTTGCTGGCGTCGCCACCGGCGTGCTTAGATGGCTTCTCGTGCCCCAGCACGTCTTCCCAATACTCATTGTTCGGTACCGTGCCCGGCTCCATCTTCATGGCCCTCATCTGCAAGCTGTGCAGCGCAGAGTCCATGTCCGCTACCTTGATCTCCTTCCCGAACACTTTTTGATTTTGCCATTCTTCCTCTGGCCACATGGTCATGTGCCTGAGGCTTCCGGGCGCACCAGGCTCGGTCTTCACTGGCTTGTTCCTGCCTGCGAGTCCCAAGCCCTTCAGCTTTCCTTCATAGGATTTCCTGAGCCTGTTGATCTTCTCGCCTGTCACAGGATCCATCCGAGCAACAGACTTTGCCACTGGACCTAATCCGTACAGTGAGATGAGATCTAGCGATGGATCCGGTCCAGTCGCAATATGGGCTGCATTTTCATAAAGCCACGTGTGTTAACAAAGCTCAATCCAAATATAAGATGGGAGAGAGTGCATTGCAAATTGTGGCAACAGCCATGCCAAGGACTGGGGAGCTCTTACAGCTTTTGCAAACATGAAAGGCAGACGAAAAGTTCTTCTGCAAGGATTCCAAGCTTGGCTCACTGCGACTGGATGAAGCCGGCGCCTCACTATCGATATCCATAGCGTCGCCTCCGTGGTTCGCAGCAAAATCGCGGACTCCAACTTCCATTTTTATACCTTCTGTATGCCGGTCATGATCTGTCCGTCTGTGTTCTGCCTGCTGTATGGCCGCGGCATTCATGTTCGCTGTTTGCGCACCTGTGTCTGGAACTGTCGAGCCCATTGGCTTATCTGTATTTTCAGGATCATCGAAGGAAGTCGCACCCGGGAAGTGCCCGCTCACGCTGCTGGCCGGCGTCGGAAACGAATTCGCCGTACCTACCGTCGGTTGTTGCGAGGCTTGGGTGGACATCGGAGCAGAGGACGGGGGTGATGAGAGGGTTGCGGATTGAGAGGTCGCCTGGTTAGGTGATGCTTGCGAGGATACAAAGTTGGTGGCATAGTTCTGAGCGCTTACCGACATCAACGGAGGTGATGTCGGAGTCTGTGGAATTCGATCGGATAAGGGAGCTGGTAACTGGTTTTGCTTGAGAGCCCCTGCGGCGGGAGATGATGGTGATGGAGGTCCTGCTCGAAATGATGCCGAGGAGGCGCGATCAGACATCGAGGACGGAGTGCAGGGTGAAGGAAGAGGAGGTTGGCCTAAGCCTGGGCAGCCCGAGCCTCGCGAAAGGGAGACCTGAATCGAAGATCTTCAACACAGCAGCAGATCACAGCAGATTCAGACTAGTATGAAGACGAGGAGATGGGGGGAAACGCCGGTCGAGGTGCGCTCAAGCGGGCGAGCAGGACGTTCCACGACCGTCTTAAAAGTCACACATTCCAATGAGCCGACACAGCACTGAAGTGAAATATCGAGCAGCACCAGATAGTGAAGAAAAGACCAGCGAAAGAGTGAAGGGCGTGGTCTGTGGGTTAAGTCGAAAGCCGGCGGGGTGGGTAGGAGTTCGAGAAAGCGCTGGGATGGGAAACCCTTGGTCCGCAACTGGAGGAGAAACGGACGGCGAGATGTTGGATGACGGCAAGAGCCCCGGGCTGGGCACGTGACGCGCCCTCATTTCTTCGATTTTCCCTCTTTCGGCCTCCGCGCCCGTATTTCGGTATCAATACACGTAAACAATACCGATACTCGGGCGTATCGTCGGGTAAATTACGGAGTATGCATCGGTAACGGATATTCCCTCTTTTTCTCCTTCACTCTTTCTGTCTCTCTGGACAAGGTACTTCCTGCTTATCGTGTTCACCCTGTTGACCATCGCAGGTTTGGTCATCTAGACATTACTTCCCGTGGTTGTGATCTATGTATGCCACGACACGCATGGGCACGAAGCGCTTTACTAGCGGCTCTCACGCCCCCTGTTGGGCGCTTGTCTAAACCTGGAGGGAATAGCCCCTCGGAAAGTATTACCTGGGGTTATTGCATAGTTTCTTCCGGAGATTTCCTTGCTTCTAGACCTAGAGCTAGATAGACTTGTCCCATCTATAGAATTTGCAGTTGGCTTGTTGGGGAAGTGATGCATTCTCTCGGACCCCTAAGCCATGTCAAACACCCAAAGACATTGAATTAAGCTCATACTCTTCTACCAAAACCATCGATTGAACTCATAAATCCCGAACCTAGTGATCGGAACCGACTCGCTCCAAACACCCAGATGAACCTCATTAACTTCCCAGCACGATGACCCTTGGGTATATTGAGATCCATGAATCCAAAATAATTATGGTAACACAATAAAAAGAAGCACACCAAAATAGAGACAACAATGGCCCATGCAATAAAAAAGCTCAACAAACACGCTGATTTGACCGAATCAAAGAGAGCGAAGCGCCCTCGTAGAAAACTTTCAAACGACCAACATGTCACGATTGGTAGAATGTCGCAGATTCTTGCACTAATAACTGCGCCGAAACGTCAGGAATGTTGTCTTCTAACGTTTCCATCAGCTCCATCTGCTCTTGATGGCTGAGCGTTCTTCCTCGCCACGGGGGCATTGGGTAAGCGCCGTTGGTGTATTGGGAATATTGATCTCCTATCGTCTCGATCCAGTTCATGGGATCGACTGTCGCATCGACATAGGCTAGATGACTAGCCGTGGTGGAGGCTAGATTGAAATTGGGATCCCAGCCTGGCAAGCCAGGAACGACGGATGGAAATGGGTTGTATGGAGTTGTCGGGTCGAACGATAAGTCTGCGTAGGAAGGTGTCGGTACATTGTAGGATTGGGGGGAACTATACGAGGGTTGTGTGGTGGTTGATATGGATTGCGGAGTAAGTTGAGCATCCCAGGATGGATGCTGCGCGGCCTTCAATGATTCAGTGGCAATAGGTGATGAGATTGACCCTTGGGAGAAAGAGAATGAGGGGTCTGCAGAAGGCCCCCTTGAAAACGTGCCACCCGATGCGCTACTACCAGGAACAGAAGAATTCGCTGCACGAGCTCCATGTGAGTGAAACGATGCTGACGTATTTGCAGGGCTAGAGACGGATAGCGGTGTCGTGACATCCTGCGAAGACGACGGAGTTGCATGATTGGAAGGCGAATGGACGACGAAGGAATCTTCGGTAGCATATGCGCGAAGGCAAGCAGCAACTAGGCTCCTATAAAGTACCAGGGCCGATTCAACACCGGGCCATCTCTGTGCAGCAAGAACGATAGCCTCCAGTGCCACGCCAAGATGGCCTTTGACTTCGTCAATAGGGTGCTCCTTGCGAATATCGGGATAAGAGAGAGACCAAAGGATAGTGTTCAAGGCCATAAAAAGTGACTGGGTGAAAATCCATGTCAAGTCAACGGATCCCGTTGCGATTTGTTCTCTCTGCATTGCTACGTTGAACACGGACGCATCATAGCATTTTCGCGCAGCATCAACAGAAGGCTCCGGCACTTGGGGAGAAGGCCGGAACATGAAGACAATCATCGTATTTCGTCTTCCATGAAACCTATGAAAAGCCACATACAGATAAGCACCCTGAAACAGAGCTAGTTAGGTAATCGTCCTTACCATTTTTCGCTCAAGCCACTACCCCCATCATTTTTGGGGCATGAAGCCACCCAGTAATCGATCTTCTGAAGCATTTGTGAAAACCATGGGTCTTGGTCATCGACTGGTACATCGCGTTTATTCAGGTAGAGCGTGCGTCGAATTTCTGCTTGGAGGAGCCGCATCTTCAGGAAGTGAATAGCTATGCACTTCGGTAGGATTATTTTCGCTCCTGGTAGGAAGCCATCCCGAGTGATAAATTTGTCCTCCACTGGCTCAAAGAACTTGACGTTGATATGATCGTGACAAACGGAGTAACAATTTGGACGACCAAGACTATGGGAAAGACCGTACTCCATGGATATAACAATCCAGAAAAGTCTTCTTCGCATATCAATCTCTAAAGGGTCCAATGTTTGCCCGCTGGGAGATTGAGTAATAGTCGCTTCATCGGTAAGCCCTAGGTCTTGACATAGCTTGACTGCCATTCCCACCACCCAGTATGCTGCTGTCCTCGTTGGCGTGAGCATTGAGTATTGGGCAATTAGGGCAAGGCATTGCAAAGATCGGAGGTCCATTCGTTTTAACGACGGTTCCAAGAATGGCAGCGCTGCAAGATAATAACTATCCGCCAAGCCTGCATAGACGGTGCTCATCTTTTGCATGCTGATGGCTATGACCATGCGTAATTGGAAATTATGGCAGGGATCATCAGACCCGTTGAGCACCTCTTCGGCTTCTTCGCGAAAGGTAGGCTCATGCAATGTCGGAAGCATTGCCTGGGCTAAACGGCAAGTCAACCATGAGTGTACAGCTGTATAGGATAGGATGCGGACGTACCCTTGACTACAAAGACATCAATAAGTCTGTACGTCATGTGTTTTGGAGGTAAAGTAGGCTGTGGCGTCGAACTGATCATGGGGTACACCTTTGATGTTGGCTTTGAGCTCTCTTGTGCAAAGGCATCTTTTATCTCCTGCGCCGTCATTTCAGGGACAACATCTTTTATGCTTTTGGAATCTGTGTTCTGTTTGGCCATTTCCATGACGAGGCGCGTGATCGCAATACCGCTGGATGGTCCCAAATATCTCGACTCGTCATTCTCCTTGAAGCGAATGCGGCCTGCCCCGCGCACCATGAGCTCCGCGTCCGCTGCATGTTGAAACTCTCTCTCGACTTCAGCAAGCTCACTCTCTAATTGGCGAGCTCTTTCTCGGAGTAAGACAATATAGTTCCTTGATATCGTGCTTTTACGCGCCGAATCGTAATAGACACACTTGGCGTTGCTGCGTTCGCATGGCGAGCATCGAGGGATACCGGGATCACACCTAGATTTACGCTGTATAAAAATTAGGATCACTTTCTCGAGCCGCCGAGGAACAAGTTAAGAGTACATCGTAACAGAACATGGATTCACGAATAAACAAGGACAGCGATAGAGTAAGAGTAACTACGTACCTGTCTGCACCGCGTACAAGCAGTCAAAGTGTGCGCGATGCGGCTATCAGGGGTATAATCAGACGGTTCTGAGATTTTTGATGGAGAGTCTGACCAGGGGTTGGTGAATTGTGGGCGGGAGCTTGAAGAGTTTAAATGTGTGGCCATTGTGGTATGTCGTGCAGGAGCACCCCTATATTAGGTTGACCGAAGGTTTGTAGGTTTAGCCGGAGGAATCATCAACGTTGCATTCTATGTATCGCATTCAGCCTTGAAAATTCCAGAGCTTTGGGGAGGTCTGATCCGAGCGTCAGGCACACGCGACTGTGGAAGTTTGAAGGGGCACTTGAGAAACGAGCACGTTCGACATGTTCGGGGTTCGCTCTGACTTGCACCAGCTGCTAGGAGTAGACGGGCAATAACTGTACAGATCTAGGGGGGTTGTACAGGTTGAAAAGCTCAGCTAGCACCTAACATGAACTCCGACTCAAGGTACCCATTCAGACATTGGAAAGAAACACAAGATATGCAGTTGCGAATATTAAATGGGGCGCAAAGGAGGGGGTGAGGTGGAAACTGAAGTGAAGCAGGCCTCGGTCCACCTCCCGCCTGGATCGACGGCACGCTAAAGAGCGCCCCGATGACCGACGTCGCACTTACCAGGACTACGGACACCCACAGCTGCCGCTTGTGAAGACTGGCCTCGAAATTGACGGGTGGGACATCCAACGCGGTGGGCCCCCCTCCGTACCGGACAAATTTCATGGAATGGGCTTCGCGGTCCGATCAGTCAGGCTATTCGAATTTCCGGGTGGGCATGAAAAGAAAGAGAGCTTACAGTAGGTCGGAGCTTTCAGGAACACGAGGATACTACTACATATACTGGTGACCTAGCACACATGAAACTATGCATAACCTTTCTCGGAGATCTGCGGTGGCGGATGATCTAGTCTCAATTCTCAATTACTGGGATTACCTCAATAATAACTATTACTGAGAAGGGGGCAGTAGATTTCACCACTCAGTACTACTGCTAGTAGTTTCACACACTGCTTTCATCTTTGAAATCTAACTCCATGAAAGGAGGTAGCACTGTATGAGCCTCGAAGTCATTAAACTGGAAGAGCCACGCTTTTCAAGGGCGCACAAAATGGACAGTGCGGATGAGGTACTGAACTATCACGCTCGAGATAAGCCTCACATCGATTGGTTGCCTGCTTTGGTCGTACATGGCATCGATACTACGTACTATGACATAAGTTCCGCTCTGTGTCAGTCAAAATCTCACAGCAACGTACTGAAGTACACTAGTAAGCCCTTGCTAAGTCTACTCGTCAACACTCTCTGCATAACTAGTAGCTTTGATTGAAGGTGTAGTTCGGATCAGAGCCGACAAGTCCTTGCCAACAAATCATGGGGAGCCTCAGGAGATAATCCGCGGGATTAAGTTCCAGAGAGCCTAGCCCTCTCTAGAGATATAGATAGCCGGGAAAAATAACGTGCCATGGATGCAGAGTCGCGAAAATGAAGGAAGAGGCGAAGAGGATCTCAGTGCCATGGTCGGAACCAGTTTGTTGGTTCATCTGATCCAAGCTTCGGAAAGCTATCCCAAAAGGGTATATGGGTAAGCACGGGCGGGTGTCTGCAAATGCCTCTAATGAATTAGGACCTCTGCTAGTTATGGATTGGTGGTGATCAACTAGTCATTCCCTAGTGAATAGTTAAGTATTGTCTTGAATAATTCCTTGCATGAGGACCTTGAAGACTTACAACCTCGTAATAAGAGCAGCCATATTATGGAGTGCTCTACAGGACGACAAATATGATAATAGTAATACTGCCTTAGTCTTTCAGGACCGACACCCGACTCTGTTGGAAGATTGACTGGCCTACGGTGTACAACGTCGATAAGTGGACAAGAGAGGGTGTAAAACTAGTAGTTTAGCGCCCCGAGCAACAAAATTTGATGCAAGGCTTTTGGTTGCATAATTCCAGCCACTGCGACATCGGCAGGTATTGCTACAGACAGATATCCTGTTGCGACACATTTTAACACTGACGAGCTCATACAATCTGAACTACTTATCCCCTTCACGAACTCTGGGACGTCAGTGTCGACATTCTTTTTACCCCTTGGTCAATCAGCACCTTTCTTGGGGGGAGGAAGGGGGAAGGGGAAGAGTGGGCACTACCTACAGTAAATACTCGGAATGCTGATTTCTGTTCTGGACCGGCCAAGTGCCGGGTGTTGCAGCATGAAGATCACTAATACGGACACCGTACTAGCACCGGCTGACCGAAGCTTTTTCGCTAGATTATGCATAACACTTCAGGCGGGCGCCCCAAGTAAGATGTAGTTTATAGGCTGATATAACGGATGGAAGAGGTAGACATAAAATGAGCACAAGGCTGAATTTCTGGTTCGACAAGCTCACTCTCATGTCGACTCGTTTCATGAGAGTCGCGTAGGGGGAGGATTTCAGCCCCCATTGCGCGTGGGGGAAGGAGGGGTCCACTTGGGGGGCAATGAAAGGAGGGGCGTGAGCAGGAGCCAGCCTTGAGCCAGCCTTGACCGGGAAATGTTTGTGTGGCACCCAATGACAGTAGCCGCCCACAAGCAAAACCGTTCGAGCCCAGATGTCGGTGGTGGTGCTGGTGGTGCTGGTGCCCGGGCGGGTGGTTACCTTACAAATGTTTTGATAAGAAAGGACTACCAACCCCTCCTCTCCCATTCACCATTCAATCTTCAACCACATGTAGTTCAATTTGTCGACAATATTGCGGCTCTATCGACTGCTAGTACAGACTAGAATACCCAGAAGTCCTTCCTCTTCGACAGCACGATCAGTGAACAACGAGAACGAAAGCTAATAGGGGAAGGCTCGCCAAACAGTTAGGTACTTTCTTTTCACTTGACTCTAGTACTTACTAGGTATACGGGGCTGACGGGTACGGTACGAACCCCCCTGCTTTTGCACTAGCTCGTGACCCTAATTGCGTACCAGAGCTTGCGGTACTTGCCTTTTCCTCCCTTCCACACTCTACGACTGGCTCATTTGCTTCCAGTCCAGACTTAGTAGCACCACTACTATTTCCTGGAATTTTGATACCCCTCGCTAAATGGTGATTTGTCTCTTCCCTTTTCTTTTCAGTGGTTTTTCTTCTGTTCCGACCATTATACCCACAACGGTCGTACTGCTTGGGGAACTTTAACCCCCCGTCAGCCCTCTCTGTGTCGGGGCAGTTGAACCCCTCTCGCTACTTTGCCCGTTCAGCCAGCCTCCCCCCGCCAGGTTTCGGGCTAAATTGATAGCGCTAGTGCCTGGTGAGTAATCTGCCTCTTGAGTTCTAGTCCTTAAAGCCATATACATACCTAGGCAAGGGCAGAAACCAAATAGTCAGAAATAAGGAAACATGGCGTTAGAACTTCTGCTTTCCCCAACTTCCCTGCCAACGTTTATTTGATTAGATGACTACGATACGTGCGACGGAACCAATGCGAGGAACTCTCATTGATACCACTGAGTTCCTTCCTGCATGCTAATAGATCCTGAACAGAACCACGTCTTGAGTCTCTCTTTCTACAAATACACTTGCGCTTCTCGTCCCCTCTCCTTTCTTTCGAGGGTAAGTGCCTATCACGACCTGTCCGTCTGAAGCTGTCATGAGTTTAACAGGGTGGTCGACAGGGCAAGACGCGAGCTTATAACTAGCATATCTTCTACTCAATAGCGTTCCATCTCTAGTACAACATAGAGATTATGTATAATTAGCATGTCGGCTACTTCATTTCTGGACAAACCACTCCTCAAAGTCAGTCGACCAGTGGCTGCTTGCTCAAGATGCCGAACAGCCAAAATCAAATGTGACGGGAAGCTTCCGGCCTGCTCCGCGTGCGAAAGGGTCGGGAAAGCGAGCACCTGCTCCGGCGCAAGTGACGAATTCGCCAGAGGAAAGGAAAGAAGCTATGTCGCCTCTTTGGAAGGTTACTGCGAACGACTCAAAACGAAGATTGACGATCTTCGCCGCCTCAAAACATCATTATCAGTGGACGAAAGGGGTGTCGCCCATCAAAGTTCGATCACCTCCATCTCCTCGGCAGGTACTGTTGCACAGGAAGGTGGCAAAGAAGTGACTGACATCGATGACCTCGTTGGTGATTTTGGCTTCTTGTAAGTTCTCGCTGAAATTAGCACGATGTTCCTCGGACTGACACCAATCAGGTCCGTCAATGCGACTTCGAGAGACTTCCATGGGATTACTTCGAATACGTCTTTCGCCAATCTTCTTCTGTCCCTGTCTCAAGCTGAGTCGATACCAAGAACGACGGCGCAGTCAATACCGCCACGCCATGAGATAATGCCCGTGCTACAACACTATTTCGACAACATCTACATACAGCTTCCATTTTTCGCCGAAACGAGCTTCTGGACATCTGTGGATGCGGTCTACCAAGCTGGGGGGCGCTTTGCCAAGCCCTTTGACAAGTGGATTGTGCATATGGTCTTAGCCACTGCGTCTGCGTCTATCTCCCTCGAGATCGGTGATAGAAGTCATCACAGAGCGTTGTCTCATGTTTCAATGGCAATGAATCAAGCCGAGGACGTCGTCCGTCCCGGTACTATAGCCGGTATCCAGTCAATCCTCCTGCTTGCCCAATATTCCTTATTCGACCCCCAACACTTTCGCAGCTGGTACTTAGTAGGGATGGCTGTCAGGGTAATGGTCGATCTAGGCCTACACCAGGACCCGCCTTTGGATGTTCAGTCAGCCTCGGAGCAGTTGGACCTGCGCCGCCGTGTTTTCCATTGTGTCTATTGCTTGGATAGGTGTGTTAAACTTCTTTTTGTCCCGGATACATACTTGCTACTTGATACTTGAGCTAACGAAAGAAACTCCATTTCACTTTTAAAGAGGAATAAGCACTGCCTTTGAAAGAACCTTCTCGTTCTCGGACGATTCCGTCGATGTTGCTTTGCCGTCTTCTGCCACGTCCCTAGGGGCTTCACTAACCGAAAAGAGCCATATATTTTTACGAAGCTCGGAGCCTGCGTGGCACATCGTCAGAATTCGCCAAATACTGTCGGAGGGTTACCAGAGAAGATATTTTCATGAACACGAGACTTCTCTTCAAGCTCCGGCCTCGACGTGGGCTCTCTGCTCAAAAGCATACGAGTGGTTTGATAAAATCCCGAGTAATATACCAAACCACTTCCCCATCCTGTACCGATTGGAGCTATCATACGCGATAGTCGTGATTCTCTCTGCTGGCGACGAACAGACCACACTATGTGATTACAGCAAGATTGTTCTGTTCCATTGCTGCATGCGGTACATCAAAGAACTCTATGAGGTGCTGAAGAACCCTGCCTGGCTGCCCCTGATGACCTTCCTGGATATTCAGAGGACGTATCAAGTTGGCCGACGATTCATACGAGATGTGACAGAAAACCAGGACCTTCTCTTGAACCCGTCGATACCCGCATTACCCTCAATTCCTCCGGAGACCCCGGAACAGCTGATTTTGAATGGTGAAGATTGTATGAGCTTCCACGCGCGCGCCTCGGAATGTCTTTCTCAGATCAACAATCTCCTCCAATATGGTGCAAGCAAGTGGGGAGCAACCAGCATACTTGGAGACTTCCAGCAAATGTGCGAGCCCGCCCGGAGCCGTCTATTACATGCATCGAACCCATATCTGGCAGGTTCTGGGGCCTATATGGCTGGCTACGCTTCATTGGTGCCTGCAGGAACAGGATACCTAGGCTTTGACATTGGATAATCTAGCCCTCGGCGAGGGCCAAGGCAAGGGATGCCTGCATCATGAATCTTCAATAATGCCTTAGTTCATGCCCCTGTGTTGTGGTAATATTGTATATGTTTTTTTTTTCTGGTTTGCACATGTTATATGTGAGCGATGTGAAGTTGGATAACGATAATACTCGGAGAAAAAGTGTCCTTACCTCGATGTGTATTGTATCTTGATTTCCTTTCTTCTTCTTTTCTTACTCTGTGGAGTGCCTCCAGAGATTGCATGTATTTGGATGACAGTCGTGAGCAGGGAGAATTCCTGGGCAGGTCCTACGAGAGAGTCTCCCGGTTGCGGCTAATGCTGCAAGGGCTGCGAGCAGCCACACCAGAAGGCCGATCGCGTCGGGCCATGTGGGCTAGCATCTCTCCATTTCCCCCCCAAACCGATGAGCATTCGAGAAATTGCACGGGAACATCAATCCTCCGTACTCGGTAAATGTAGGTCGGGATTTGAACCTGAACGTAAGCGATGCTGGTGCCTTTTAGTGATCTACCGGCCAATCGTTGGCCAAGAGTGTGGCTGGTCAAGATCGGAGCCAGTTGACCGCACCATAAGCTTGGGGTAGTACAACTAGCTAGTTAGTCACAATATACTCCGCAATGGAGAGGAAAGGAAAGACTACATGGGCTAAAAGACACGCGTCAAGTACACGCTTGACATACTGAACTTCTCGAACCTCCTTGGACCCCGTCCCTTTTCCCATGGAAACCTGTCCCCAATTTAGCACCAGGCACCGCACTCATACCGTAGCAGCGAGTGAGTACAGAGATACATAAGTAGAGTGCCCAATTGAAGGGCAGAGAAAGAAAGAGAGAGAGAGAGAGAGAAGCGAGACTAAACTCGTGACGTCACAGTGATGCGTCGCGGATGGTCAAGCAATCGACTTTTTGCACTGCATGATACAGTAATAATTTTCCTACGAAGTCCAGTGTAGTAGCAGCAGTATTTACTTTTACGAGGGAAATACTAGTCCTTTGCACTAAGTCGCAATGGAGGGTGGACAATTACCCACAGTCACCCCATAAGGCAGAAGAAGCTTAAGCTTGCTTTTTTTCCTCAAGGCCCGCCGATGAGTAAAAGTATTTCCGCTTTGCTTTGAACGAAAGATTTTCCTTCTGATATCAGGCCCACGGATGGGATCCGCTTTCTTTCTTGTGTCTTTTATGAATTGGATTTCGGGTCTGCCGCTTCTGTCCAAATCTACTGTTGATGGGATTGATTTGTTGCGCGCCCGTAAAAGTCAAGCTGCCAGCACCCCAGGGATGGGATGAGGTTGTCCAAGAACTGCATCTGCTACACACAGCCGGAGCCTAGTCCTACCTATCTATAGCACTAAGTTACTGGGCTCTCCTGACGTGGATGGATCACATGTTCCGGTCGATCGTTTCCATGGCTCTCGAGTCTCAATGCTCCTTCTCTCGCGTGCATGCAAACACTCCAGTACTGTTGAGTGAATCCATTAGCTAAGACACCAGCTGGCTCAGCTCGACGACTCGCCAGAAGGGCTAAAGTAGGGAGTCGTAGGGATGATCCGCGCAACATCCAGGCTCGTAGCGCCGATCCTGAGTGGATGGCGGGCCAGATCTTGAGCTGGCGCGTCCGCCCTTGACTTCATCGCTCTCGGCGCGATGATGATCTCATCGTCGTACAAACTCAATCCTCCTTCTTTCCCCTCCCCCCCCTAAACCACCCTATGCCGTGTATCTCGACGAAATCTCTTCCCTCCCTCCAGGAACCAGACACAAACCCGGAACTTCACCTTTGCCTGTTCTGCTCGTCACCACGACACCATGACGTCAAGCAGGTGCGCTGGCCCAAACTGGCAGGCACCACCGCGCCATTACGCTCCTGCCCTTTCGCTGCATGCGGCAGTTGTATTTAAATCCGTAGAGAACTTCGTAGTAGTTCCTTCCTTCCCTCGATCCACTTGTCGTTTTGATTGATACCACAATTTCTTTCGGCGTACATTCTTCCCCCTTCCTACTACAACTACTACACTTACGCTGTCAACCTAATACCCCATCCGTCCTCGGCGTCCTTCATTCCGGAGATACCCAGCGACGCGCTTTTTTTTCTATCCCTTGTTTGCAGTCTCAAGAGAAGATCAGCCTTGTCGTCTGCTTATCGTCGTGCCGTGCACTTTATCTTACCTTGTTTAATCTCTGTTCGGTCTATCTTCCTTGCCAGATACCTAACCCCGGATCTTGGCCAGACGCCCGAATCTGCTGGCCAGTGGTCCCCCTTGCGACTGCATACTGCTTACTTTCCCACATACATACATTTAAAAAAACAAGAAAAAGTTTCTTGCTTGGCTTTCGAGCCTCTGTAGACGTCAATTCTTGCCAGTCAATCTGGTAATCCTGCCGCAATGTCGTCCAAAGCAGTTAACCATCCGCTGAACACCAAGCAGAAGGAACAGGTATTTCATCATCCTGGTCTCCTCAAAAGCTGGACGCAGAGCCTCTAACCCGAATATCGCTCCAGGATATCAACCAGAAGCTGCAGCTTTATGGAATCTATCAAGGTAAATTCAACACAAGTCATCATGTTCCAGCGTATTTGTGCTAATGGGCCATGTAGCCTTCAAAAATGGCAAGCTTCCATCGGTGAGTGAAGTGATTCAACCATCAATCGTGTTGCCTACTAACGTGAAATCAATTATCATAGAACAAACAATGCGACGTTGCTCTGAACAGTGCTCTCAAATCCAAGGCCCTCTCGTCGCCGTCCCAGGAGCTGTCTGGTGAAGGCCAGGCCCTCGTGCAGGATCTTCGGAACGTTATCGAACATGCTAAGAAGCTTATGCTGAGCAAGAATGAGGGTCAGCTCTTGCAGGAATTCCTGTGGGAGGCACAGACTGTTTCTTCGGGTGATACAGAGAAGCCAGGTCTGCCTGTGACGAGGGATGCGGCCCAACAAGACGGCCAAGAAGCCTTGGAGGGTCTCAAGACCCTTGGAAGACTCCTGATCACGAATGGTGAATTCAGAAAGCTATGTAAGTTGACCGCCATCTGGGCAGGGAACCCCAAAACTGACATTAGTGTCTAGTAAACGATGCTATGACGCTTGCGCGTGATATGGCTGGTGACGTCTCTCAGAAGGCCGCAAACAGGCTGAGACCATCGGAGGAACAACTTTCCCAGATTGATGAGCCAGCTGAAGAGAACGTGTGGCACGAGCAGCCTGATTTCTCCAAGCACAAGGAAACATTCAAATCTCGCTTCAAGAGAAACAAAGACGTGAGTTTTTCTGAGCCGATAGTGCCATACCAAGTGACTCACATATGGACAGGAGGGTAAGCAGGAAGTCGCTGGTACTGCAGCACAGGCTGCCACCGGTGGCCAAGAACCTTCATCGGTCTCCGATGTCGACGCGCGCGCTGGTGTTGCTGCAGGTGCAGGAAGAGCCCAGGAGAAGATTTCAGAGAATGTCCCTGAAGAGGCAAAGAGCCGTACTCGTGAATACAAGGACAGGACCAAGAGCTACTTGTCAGAAAAGGTGCCTCAAGAGCGACGGGATCAGACGATTTGGCGCTTGAAGAAGATGGTCATTGAGATTCAAGGCCATTCTGATTGTAAGTTATCAGCTAACGATATGCACCCACAGATGATCGACTGACTGCGAAACAGACCAACAGGCGATCCGAACCCTTCTTTCTATGGCTGAAAAGTATGGTTCCCATGGACGGAACTTGTCTCAGCAGGGCGCCGGTTCAGTCCAGGGCTTCCGAAGCGGCGATAAGATCCAGAGAATGGAGGCCAATCTTCGGGTACGTCTGTCAGTTTTGTCGGATAAGCAGTGACTAACCCCTTCTGACCAGACTTTGATTGAACGTTTTGCCAACCACACGTCCCTGGATAATCTATTTGACTCTCTGGACAACATCTACCGAGATGCAGACAGGGACCCTGAGCTGAAAGGATGGTTCAGAAACATGGACACCTTCATCCGGTGAGTATGCAAGTGCATACGGGACCCAGGCGGTGTACTAATCAATTCACAGGAAAACCCTAACAGAGCAAGGCTATATTATGGATGATGATTGCAATCGCCAGTGGGACCAACTCACTGATCATGGCCGTTACCTCCTGCGTGAGCGCTACAGGGATCATACCGATCGAATTCTTGATGAGCTCAAGTTCCTTGGCGATCAGTTCAACCAGGACCCTCAGAACAAGGCGTTTGGGGATGCGATGCAGAAGCTCTTCGATGACCTTGGACGCGACAACAGCGGCAATATGGCCTTCAAGAAGCATCTCGTCATGGACATTCGGGATGTTATTCTACCAGAGGTTCTTGAAAATGTCCGCTATGTCCCCGTTCCTCGTATCGAAGTGTCTGATCCCGCGGCCGATGTTGTAAGTATACCTGAGTTGTCCTATGCGGAGTTTCGTGGCTAACTATTCAAGGTTGTGGAAAACCTCGTGATTGAGAGCGATAACTTGATGCCGAATGTCGTGGAATTTGGCAGCGACAACTACTTCCGATGGGGACGCAAGAAGATCAGCAGCAAGAGGGACAACAAGGTTAGTCGATTTCCTGTAGTGATCATTTTAGATGAGTAATGCTGACGATCTGCCCGAAGATTATGATTTCGGTGTCTGGAATCCAAGCCGATCTCCGAGGTAAGTGAAATGTCCCTAAGGTCGTCGTTCGATCTGCATCGGTTACTGACACTACCTCTCCAGATGTGAGCTACTATATCAACAGGAAGCAGGGGTTCCCTGCTATCACGGACACTGGTATCATGGATATCTTCTTGGGTGGCGAAGGCTTCGGTTTCAAGATTGCAGCCTCGACTGCCCAAAAAGAAGACCGGCAGAACTTCATCAAATTGGACAAGGTGACTGTCAAGATTGACTCTCTCAACGTCAAATTGAAGAAGTCGAAGCACAAGACTCTATTCACGATTTTCAAGCCATTGTTGTTCCGAGTTGTCCGTCCAACCCTGGAAAAGGTACTCGAGCAGCAGATCCGGGACGCTTTTGCCAAGGGAGATGCCTTTGCCTACGAAATCCACAGTGAGGCGAAGAAGGCACAGGAAGCTAGTAGCCAGGATCCCGCGAACGCGCCCAACATCTACTCCCGCTATCTCGATGCCTTCCGTGCCAGAAATGAGGACAAGAAGCGAAAGGCACAGGAAATTGCCAAACGAGACACTAAGGTGCAGACGGCTACAACTCTGCATGATTCCCTCTTCCCCGAGATCAAGCTTCCTGGCGGCATCAGTACTAAGGCCACTGAGTACAAGGAACTCGCGATGAAGGGTGAACGCTGGGAATCCCCCATCTTCAGCATTGGCAGCGCCTCAGAGTCTTCTGATATTCCCAAGGCGGGCGACATTTCTCGCAAACGGGAATCCCCTGCCGAAAAGGGTGGTGTTGATGGAGTAACTAATGGCGGGGCCACAAACGGCAGAGTCACGAACGTTAATCAGACAACTGGAGGAGTCACTAATGGGACTACCGCTATCACCCAGAATGAAGAAGTGACCAACGGAGGTGCACAGCCCATGGACGGTCGAGTGACCAATGGCAAGCACGCTGTTTCTGGGACCAATGGACACACCAATGGACATACTAATGGACATTCCAAGACATATGACCATGCAGCCGCGTCCCAGAAATTCTCCGATGAAGTCAGCCAAGCGTTCAGTGATGGAAACGTTGGCGGTGGTACTCGGACCACAGTTCCAGGCGTCGAAACTGCCTTCAACCCCCAGACTGCGTAGGTCAATCGCGTGGAGGGATCATAGGGTTCAGCAATGCTCATACACGCTAGCCAAGTATCACTTTTGTTATTGATTTATCCTGCCTGTACTGTTTTTGATACCTTGTGACGTTGTCGACTTGACCATTTCATTTGTTATACGAACCTAATGCTTTACTTATCAGCATAAGTGTGTTAGTAGTTAATGATTAATTCATTGTGATATCCTGCGATATGTCTGGGCAAGCTCTAGAACAGAGGTGATAGAAAGCTGTATGTTTTATAAGACATCAGTAATAGCCTGGCTCATTACAGTGACACAGGCAAGCACGAGGCATTAACTTTAGGAAACCAAATCATTACCCCTCGTATTTGAAACTTGCTTCTAGACTCTATATACTTTCAACATTTTTAACTTGACCCATTCAATCATAACATCCATTACATTTGCTCAAAATACTTCTCCCAACCGAGCTCGCGCAGCTTAGTACCCTTCAGCTCCATGTTCTCAGCCCGAGCGCTCTCCGCATAAGCCTCAACCTTGCGCTGGATAGCCGGATCGAAAGCACCGAGGATACGAGCAGCCAGGAGGGCAGCATTGATGCTGTTGTTGATGCCGACGGTGGCGACAGGTACACCTGTAAAACATGTTGTCAGCTCGGATGTAACGTAACCTGGTATATGATATGCAGGAAAGAATGTGTGTGACTGTCATCCTACGTGCATGTATGCATGCATGCAGCAACAGTGCATGTGAGGGAAGACGGAAACAGGATCTAGGTGATGAACAAGGAAGAAAAGAATATGGAGAAGACTCACCCCTAGGCATCTGCACAATGCTGTACAAACTATCAACTCCATCCAAAGAGCTACCCTTAACCGGGACACCAATCACCGGCAGCGCGGTATGAGCAGCCGACATACCGGGGAGGTGAGCAGCACCTCCTGCGGCAGCAATGATGACCTTGATGCCACGAGCCGCGGCATTGGCAGAGTACTCGGCCATGTAGGTGGGTGTGCGATGAGCGGAGGTGATTTCCACGTCGGGCTCAACGCCGAAGTAGTCCCGCAGGAGCTTGAGACCGGGAACCAGGGTCTTGAGGTCACTGTCGGAGCCCATGATGACCGCGACGGAGGGGGCGGGCTTGGAGACGCCGGACTTTTGGGGCTTGGAGCGGACGTCGCTGCGCTGGGAGCGGATGTCGTCGACAACGTCGATGAGGGGCTGGATGTGGGATTCGGCTTCGTGCATGGTCGGGGCGGTGACGGTGACGTGGCCCATCTTGCGGCCGGGTTTGGCGGCGCCCTTGCTGTAGAGGTGGATGCTGGCGTTAGGGATGGAGAGGGCGCTTTCGGCAGCCTTGAGGTGGGTGTCTGGGGCGGAGCCGCCGATGATGTTCAACATGATGGAGGGTTGGCGGATTTCGAGGCTCTGAGGGGGGATGGGGAGGTCGAGGATGGCGCGGATGTGGGCTTCGAATTGAGACATGGGGCAGCCTTCGATGGTGTAGTGACCGGAGTTGTGGATACGGCTGGCGATCTCGCAGAGGAGAAGGCTGTCGTCTTCCAGGAGGAACATCTCCACGCCGAAGACACCCTTGCCTTCGAAGGCGGAGACGGCTTTCCGGGCGAGTTCTTGCGCTTTGCGGTTGATGGCATCGGAGACGTTGCGGGCGGGGGCGTAGACGAGCTTGCAGATGGAGTCTTCTTGGACGGTTTCAACGGTGGGGTAGGAGAGGACTTCGTCCTTGGTCTTCACGACCATCACGGCGAGTTCCTGGGGTATGGGTGTTAGATGGTGATGTGGGTCATTTGGCGTGGAGGGTGGGGGGGTTATATACCATCTTGAAGTAGGCCCATTTCTCGGCATACAGAGGACGACCCTTGAGGAACTCAAGGGCTTCGGGGATATCGTGAGCACCGCGCACGTGGAAGTTTCCTGGTAATTAAGGGACTGGATTAGTGGTGGTTGCTGGTGGATAGTAAAGAACAGCAATTGGCGCAACACCGGTGACTCACCACGTCCATCGTAGGCCATGGTCTTCGACTTCAGCATCAAGGGGTAGCCAAGCTCCTCGCCAACCTTGGCCAATGCCTCGGGGGTATTCTCAGCGAGCTCGCGGTGCTCAGCCATGGGGATGCCATATTTGCGGAGATGTTCCTTCTGGTTGTACTTGTTCTGGATGGTGCGGATCGCCTGCCAACTGGGCTCGATGCGGACCTGCGAGGCGATCTCCTCCAGGGCATAGGTATCGACGTGCTCAATCTCGGCGGTCACGACGTCGCAGTTCTTCGCCAATTCGCGGACGGCTTCGCGCTCCTTGAAGGAGCCGGTGACATGGTCATCGTGGGAGCTAATCTGCTTAGCCGGGGAGTTCTCCGCATCAAGGACGTTGCACTGGATGTTGAGGCGGTTGGCCGATTCGACCAGCATACGGCCCAATTGGCCTCCACCGAGGATTCCCACCTTGCGGGAGTTCCACATATTGATTTAAGGGAATACAGGAAAAGAGGGAGAAAAAACAGAGATGGACAGGCACCAGCTCGCACCAAGCAGAGGGGGAAAGATCTGGGGAAGAGAAAAGCAGCCCCTCCACGGCGGAGCAAAAAATCCGCCCGATAACCATCACGTGCGCCAGTGATAAGCGGCTGGCGGGCCCAATCAGAGCCTGCGGTTGCCGGGGGAGCCGCCGTCCCCGCGTGTCCAGATCGAGCCATGTCAATTCCGCCCGTCATTTGCTGCTCTCCCTCTGCATTTATCCCCTGTGGCCTTGTCGCATCTCACTTCGCTGGGCGCAGAAGTGCTGGATCATGTCGCTGGGTATGTTTGAATCTATAGTCAATGCCGGAACCTAACTGCAATGTTGCTTTTGTCCAACTTGTGACCTGCGCTCTTTGCTTTGATTCTTAAGGAGCTTGTCACGCACAGCTTCAAGCTCCATTCAGCTAACCCATCATGCGATCATAGACGAAGAAAGCCTCGACACAGTCGCCAATGGCGGCACGATGGACTAGTATGTCAACTTGCGCCCCAACCAAGCATCTGCAGTACAATCTGAGCTGACATTCTCCGTTTCCTCCAGTGAGAAATGGCCCAGCATGGTCGAACCCCTGCTAGAACGATTGGAATATGTGCGCAAACCCCGTACCATCCACGAAACCAATCACCGACTAATGCACCTCGCGTCCAGATCATATACAACGTCTTCCCAATGCCGCGGATTCCTCCCGACCTTCAGGAGCAGTCTGCTAATCCCACCGTCCCCACAACCACACCATCCACGACTCTCCAGACCTCCACACAGCCCGAGCCATCATCGCAGCAATCCTCCGCAACTGAGCGTATCGACACCCAAGTCCCGTCCTCGCAAGGCTCCTCTCTTCCCGAACCCCTCCAACACCACCTAAACTCCATCAAATCCACCTTGCGATCCCTCTTCGCCTCAAAACCCCCACACACTATCCAACGTCTCGCAGAACTAATCGTCCGCCCCACTGCCCACTACCGCACTCTTCCCGCATATCTTCGCGCCGTCGACCGCGTCGTCTGCGTCACCAGCAGCGCGGAAATCTTTCCCCTCCACTCGACACATCATGGCGCTGCTCCCCAGCCCAACGGCGCGGTCATCAACGGCGCCGATACCGGCCTCTTGTTCCCGGACCATGCGCTCGGTAGCGATGAGTCTCTAGGCGGAGCTCTTCTCACTCCGATACCGTGGTTGAGTAATGATCCCTCATCGCCGGAACATGAAGGGGAAAGCGGTACACTTATGGGGGATACTGGGTTCCCTACCCAGGGGGTGGAGCATACTGGCGCTGAGCAAGGAGATCAACAGATGGGATCTGTTCCTACTGCGGAGACGATGACGGTAGTGACAGCAGACACAAATGGAAACGAAGGCACGGGTGAAGCTCCGCCGGCTGAAGCACTGGAGGATATTCCGCATGCAAGAGGTCCCTCTGTAGTCGGGGTGGAGGATCTAGGGTTACAGGATGGTAGGGGTGTGGAGATGGATCTCTCGAGTGGAGGGGAGGGGGCGCCGGAACTGCAGGCTTCTGGACAGGAGACTTCCCAGCCGCAGCAGGAGCAAGAGCAAGGGAACCAGCAGCAGCAGGCTACTGGCCAGGATGGAGAACAAGGTGCTAAGTCGACAGCAGATGGAGATGGTGATATTTCTCTAGATGATGTCAAAGCTCCGGAGGAGAACGCTTCCGTAACTGAAACGGCGAATAAAGATCAGCAGCAAGCGTAGCTTTTGGGACGTCGCATGATATGGTATTCATAATCTATTAGCGTGTCGTGCTTTGTCTTGTCGCGCATTACATTTCTTCTTGGACTCTCTCTCTCTCTGTCTGCCTGCCAGCTAGCTTACATTGTTAAATCATGATTGAAGACTTGACTTTGACTATCGTTGTCATGAACCGTGTTCCCTTGGCGTTATCTATCAATTACTACTTACTACAACTAACAGTGAGCAAGCATGCATAATTACTCAAGTGCGCGAGTGTAATTCATCATCCAAACTTGATCCGGTTGAGTTTCATATATGTGCAGCGCAATTATAAACACGGCACATCACAATCCATCGTCAACAAAACCCAGTCAACAGATATAGATAGAATGCATATAATCGTCATTAGGGGGTCATAACATCCAAACACCAATCATGCCAATATAGACAGATATATAGTAACTCCGATAGATAGATCAACCATTATAAAAACCGAAAGATAAATGAAATAGGCAGTATAGATCATACCGGCGGCTCCACCGTCTGTAGAGGAACATAGAGCCCCTCATCGGCATTCGAGCCTCTCCTCTTCCTACCCGTCATGAACGACCAAGTATCAGAGACGAATTCCCGGACCCAGGACGACGAGGACGAGCGTCTGTGAGAATTAGATCCAGTTACTGATAGCGTGGCCTCCCACCAGCTCTTCTTGGAGGCATTGAAGCTGCCGTCAGATGACAACTCGATATCCTTTTGTAGCTTCTCGGCATCCATCCAGCCCGGTCTCTGCCAAAATTTGAGGAGCAGGCTGCTCACGACGACGGAGACGCTGGATAGAGCCATTGCGGCGCCGGCGGCCATCGGGGGTAGCATGAAACCGAATGGGAGGAAGAGACCCATTGCGAAAGGGAGACCGATGACGTTGTATAGACAGGCCCACATGAGGTTGAGCTTGATGCGGTTGAAGACCGAGCGGGAGAGAGACAGACTTGCGGGTACGGAGAGGAGGTCGTCGGGCCGCATCAGAACGATGTCTGCTGCTTCGACGGCCACGTCGGTGCCTGAGGCTAGGGCGATACCTACGGATGCAGTGGCTAGGGCGGGAGAGTCGTTGATGCCGTCGCCGACCATGGCGACTCGGTCGCCGGAGTCTTGCATCGAGGCGACGATGGCTTGTTTGTCGGAGGGGGAGACAGAGGCGTGGACTGCCTCTGTTGGGATCCCCACTGCAGAGGCGATGGATACAGCGGTGGCATGGGCATCTCCTGTGATAAGGGAGGTTGTGATCCCCATACGGTGTAGGGCGGCGACGGCTGCTGGAGCGGTCACCTTCACGGTGTCCCGAAGCAAGATGGATCCTGCGTATTGGCCATCGATGGCGACGTGGATTTGGGTGATGCCGGCAGGGACCTTAGACTTGGGGGCGATGTCGGAGTCGTCTGATTCAGCTGTTTCAGGGACGGGGACGTCCCTTGATCGCAGGAAAGCAAGGTTTCCAACCAGGACACGGTACCGGATGCGCTCTGCACTGGACGTGGGCTCGACTAAGGCGGAGATACCCTTGCCGACGCAAGCTTCAAGGTCACCCAAGCTGCCGGGCAACCCGCCCTCTCCTGGATGGCCGGATTCAGACTGAGCAGCCGAGAAAATGGCTCTGCCGATGGGGTGTTCGCTGCTCATTTCTGCAAGACCGACGATCAGCCACCAGAGTCTGCGGCGCCAGTCGCTTGACGTCCAATGTGGTTCGATTTTAGCTTCAGCAACGCTCATTTTACCCGTGGTCAAGGTTCCGGTCTTATCAAACACGACGTGGTTGATCTTTGTAGCAGCTTCGAGGACAGCGCCACCCTTGACAAGAATACCCTGTTGAGCACCCACGCCGGTGCCGACCATGACAGCTGTAGGGGTGCTAAGACCGAGAGCACATGGGCAGGCGAAGACAATGACCGAGATGCAAAGTTTGAGACAGACCATAAATTTGCCTCCGTTATTTTCAGACAAGAAGATCTTCGGAGGGTGAGGTAGGATATGGCTCATGAACATCCAGCCGAAGAATGTGACAAGACCAAGACTGATGATAGCTGGAACGAAGTAGCCTGCAACAACGTCGGCCATCCGTTGGATCGGAGCCCGGCTAGTTTGGGCATCTTGAACCAGCTTGACAATCTGGCTCAGCTGAGTGTCCTTGCCAGCTCGAGTAACCTTGAAGTCCATAGAACTAGTGCCGTTGACCGTACCAGCGATGACAACACTACCCTTGGCCTTGTGGATCGGCATAGCTTCACCAGTGATCATACTCTCATCGACATAGCTCTCGCCACGAATGATAATGCCATCAGCCGAAACCTTGTCACCGGGATGAAGGAGCACAACATCCCCTACTTCAATGAGCTCCGTTGGGATGAGTTTGTGCCCTGGCCCTGCGCGCTCCTCGGTGGTCGAGGATGAGTGTTCTTGTGGCTTTTCGTTAGGATTTCCCCATTCTTCAGCGAGCTTCTCCGCCGCTATCGGGTCGTCGTAAATGGTGGTCATGGACGGTGCAAGAGACATGAGCCGGGATAGAGCAGCAGAGGTTTGGCCCTTGGCCCGGTTCTCCAGCCATCTTCCGAGAGTAATAAAGGTTATAAGCATCGTGCTTGTATCGAAGACTGTACTTGGCCGGATATCATTATCCGACAAAAGAGACACAACCATGGTAAACACGCTGTAGAAAAATGCAGCAGAGGTACCAAGCATAACGAGAACATCCATGGTTGGTGAGCGATGTTTCAAAGACTTGTAACTGGCTACGTAGAACCGCTTTCCAATGCCAAATTGTACCGGGATAGTGAGCAGAAGACAGGCGACATCGCCAAGGTAGAGACCGGAACATAGTCGAACACGGCCGAAATCAAGAACCGGAAGATACATCGGCAGTAACATATTGATCAAGAAGACGGGGACTGCAAATGAAGCAGAAAACAGGAATGAGCGCTTCCATTCCCGGACCTCCTTAGTTTTGGACAGCGACTCCAACTGTGCGTTGGTATCATCGGACTGCGACAGGAGGGCATTGTATCCGGCCTTTTCGATCAGTTCGACGATCGAACGAATACCAATCTTCGAGGATTCGTACGACAACGTGATTTGAGAGTTGGCCATTTTTACAGACGCCGATGAGATCCCGGGATTCTGCAGCAGAGTGTCTTCCAAGGCCGAGGCCGAGGCTGCGTCGCGCAAGCCGTGGAGGCTGAGAGTGACACGGCTGAGGCCTCTGGACATGGGCGCCTGTGCTTCCGATGAAAGGACGGTAGTATCGAACCCGGCATCGTCGATTATGCTGACTATTTGTTTCGAGGTGAGTGTAGTAGGGTCGTGGGTGATAATCGCACGCTCGGCTAGCAAGCTGATGTTGAATTGCACTACACCGTCCACCCCGCTGAAGGCATTCTGTATACTCGACGTACAGGCACCACATGTCATACCATCTATAGACACAGTCGTGACCATCAGCCCCGATGTAGAGCCCGACAAGTCCTCCGAGGTGCGGACAGCGCTCTCCTCCGTTGAGGTTTCCAGCACCTTTGCGCCAAACCCACGGTCCTCGATAATCTCTGCAATCTGGTCGGGCGCAACGAGAGACGGATCATGCTCCACGACTGCTCGTTCGGAAAGCAAAGACACATTAACTGAATGCACACCAGGTGTATCCTTCAAACCTCCCTCCACCGCGGAGGTGCAAGCACCGCATGTCATGCCCTCAACCGCCAACGTCGTGGTTGACAGCTGAAACACTTTATCCCTGGCCCCGCGGGAACCATCCGCCGGCGTAGAAGCACTATCCGTAGAGACAACCGTTGCGTCGAAGCCACAATCGTCAATAATTTCGGCGACTTTTTCCGCAGGAAGCAGGGTTGGGTCATGATGGACCACAGCCCGGCCCATCATCAAGCTGACGGTCACCTCGCCAGCACCCTCCACCCCCTTGAAGGCACCCTCGACGGCGGAGGTGCAAGCACCGCACGTCATTCCCTCGACGTTGACTGTTGTGGTCGCCATATGGGCTGCTGATCGGTCGGAAGAAGCGCCATGGTTGCCGGCGCCTAGCAGAGCGGAGGATGAGGCCGCCATGTTGCGCCGATTTGCTGCAGAAGCCGGACAAGGACGGTCGGGACGCGCGGTGTGTGTTAATGCATGCGTTCGTCTGGGAGGAAGAGGGGGACGAGGAGGTCGGGGAGATAATAAAGGAAGGGAGGGGAAAGGATAAGCAGGAAAATGCTAGTAACACGCAAGGGTCGTTCGATTAAGAGACATTCGGACCGGATGCGACGGAAGGATACGCCGAGCCTTTTTAAACATGCAGCAATTAATTACATCAAGACACTAAGACAAGAAGAACTATTACTACGGATGGTACGGGAGCTGAATGGGTTATTGCACGGGAAGAAACCTAATCTTAGACCAGACACACACGCACACAAAGAGCGTGGGATGGAAAGAATGGTAAACAGCAGTAAAACCAAGACATTCCAGGCCGAGTGAATCCCATTCAGCAACGGACTAAGATTAGATCGAGTCGGGAGGAATGATGCCAGGCGCATCCCAACCCACCGAGACGATGGCGCTAACAGAAAAATACGCAGCGCATGGCGTCAGGTTGTCTCCGCCGCCCCGCGGACTTACGTGAGTTTTTCTTCCCCAAATCGGGCAACATTGCCGCTTCAGGGCATTTGGAAGGCTGGGACCACTTGGTTGCTCTCGGGGGACCACTGCTAGTATACAAAGTAAGTAGTATAGGTATTGAACTCCAGTACCGGGTTCATGGTTCATCTTCGGATGCAGTCTTCGGTAGGTGTAAGGCCAGCTATGCAGTAATATTGTCAATAAGATCGCATAGGGATCAGCTGAACTGTCCGATCCAGCTCAATAAGCCACCCACGCATGCGCTAGCACTTATCTGGCCTGTAACTACTACCCATCTAACGGTGCTTATCTGCCTGCACACGGTCTCCGGTATGACCTCCCGATGGAGGGATCAACTCAGACCCCTAGCCCAGACTGAGAGGGAAATGACCACGTCTGATGCTGCGACACGAGAAGCATCATGCTTATTATATGCTCCATCCTAGTAGCAGCTGTCATGGGACATCAAACTCAGACAAGGACTGAAGGGTCTGGAGGTGAAACACTTGGCACCGAACCGGCTTCGTTTCGACTATATGGCAAGTAGCCGAATAAGTGACTTGAACAGCCGGATTTGTCTGTAGAAAATCAGCTGTAATACAACTAGTTAGCAGCGAGACAATTAGTTCATCGCAGCTATCGTGAGCGGACTAATCATCAGAAACGGAAGTTGACAATGTCATTGACTTCAGAAGACGAGATCACCGTCCGGACATGCATCCCATTGTTTGCATCAGGTGCAAACACCAGAGGGACATCATCGCTGCCTCTCATACCATCATCATCACTATCAATAACATCAACATCAGCACCACTTTCATCCCTCCACAGTATTACAATCAATGGAGCACGCATCACCGCAACCCACACAGTGATACACCTACCTACCAACCACCTCAATCCACCCTATCAATCCAAGCACCCTAACCTCACCACTCACCACTCACCCCCTCATCCTCACAACAACAACCACAAAATGGACCAAATACACACCCGGGCCCTCGAAGCCCTCCAACCATTCATCCACCTCGCCACCTCGAACAGCGCGACATCCCCGCGCTTCATCACAAACTTAATCACAAACGCAACCTCCAACCCGCACACCTACGTATTCGCCGAACTCCTCACCACCCCAGCCATCCAATCCCTCCGCGACCCCAACACACCCGCCGAGTATGCAAGCTACCTGACTCTCCTTGAGATCTTCGCCTGGGGAACATGGCAAGACTATCAATGTACAACCCCCTCACCCAGTACACCCAAGAAACATAGCTAACTAAAAACAGCAACACCCAACCTTCCCCCCCTCAACGACGCCCAAACGCTCAAACTCCGCCTCCTCTCCCTCCTCTCTCTCTCCACAACAACCAACCCTCTAACCTACAACACACTCATGACCGCCCTATCCATCACGCAACCCTCGGAGCTCGAATCCCTCGTCATAAAAGCCATCTACGCTTCGCTCATCACAGCCCGTCTATCGCCCGCTTCCAACCCGCCAACCGTGAATGTTACCTCCGTGGCGCCCCTTCGGGACGTGAAGCCCGAATCGCTGGGCAAGATGATCGACATCCTGACGGCGTGGGAGACGCGCTGCGGGGACGTGATTGGGGATATTGAGGCCGAGATTATTCGGATCAAGACGGAGTCGGCGAGACGGAGGGCAGAGGAGCGGGAGAAGGAGGTGTTGTTTGAGAAGGCGCTTGCCGGGTGGGGGGCTAAGATGGATGAGAAGAAGGTGGGAGGTGGTGGTGGGTGGCAGCAGGGTGGTAGGGGTGGTGGGGTGATTGGTGGGAATAAGAGGGAGTTTGCTGCGGATGAACTTGATGATGGGTATTGGGAGTATGGGCTTGAAGGAGAGGATGGGATGGGGGGCGGGGGCTCCAGGATGGATATTGATGATGGGGCTGGAGCGAGGTTGGGTGGTGCTTCTTCGGGGCCGGCTAGACATCCTAAGCGGGTGTTGGGGAAGAAGTCATAGTTACCTTCGGTAGTAAACAGTTAAAACTAGTACTAGATTTTACTACTATGGACCTGAGTCCCATTATAGCGAATAGCATCATGGTAGCGTTTCGAGTCTTCGATAGGTTCTCCTAGTATGAATGGTACGAGTAATGGGAAGCTGGGAATGGAAGCTACTATCGAGCTAATGCTCACAGGTCAGACATATATATGGCATCAGTATATCATAATAGAATCTAATTACCGTGGACTATCCACAACACCAAAGCCTCAGAGAAATCGTTTAACGTACATGCAAATCCAGCAGATGAGGGGTATTATGTAAGAAAGGTAAATAAACAATGAAAGGAAACCCAATATACACAAGGTGTAGGGTGTGTGAAATGAACGTCGTGACCCGACGGACCTGGTGTGTCACGCCAGTCCATGGATAGTTGGTTGGCAGATGTAAATCCCACTTGCTATGGGACCAGGGGCATGGGTGCTCTACAGCAGCCATCTCTGGAGCTCCAAGCACTGGGTATCTGCCCCTTCTCACATTAAGAGAATCCCCGAGGCCATTCGGGGAGGCAAAAGCTCTCTTTATATCCATGCGCTGAATTGGACCCAAGAAGCAAGATACGCTGGCTAACGCTCAGAAAGAATCAAGATGCACATATATGCTGCCCAAAAGCGGTATCACGCGGCCGTAGAAATTGAAACAGATTTCGAATTGAAATCGGCAGGGGTATACGCAATATTACGGAGATTAGAGCATAGTACCGGGCACAAAGATGAACAGTATACTCAACGCTGCGGCAACAAAGAAGGCGATCATGGCAGTGGCAGTGGCCCGCTTGTTCAGTAGTTTGCGCACGTATGGCTCGCGAATCGGCGACCAATTCATGAACGTGTACTCGCTGTAACCGAGGAAAGCCATGACCGGGTCAATCTTGTACTGGTACGAGACGATGAAGTAAGAGGCAATGGCAAAAGGCAAGATCAACTGGTCAGATGTTAGTAAAATATCAGGCCTGCGAACGAGGATCGGCTACTTACCCAGCAACGGATATGCCGGGGTTTGTCCCGGAGAACCACGTAGAATGCGCCCCAGAAGCCTCCACCGAAGCTGATAAGGGCAAACGCCAGTCGTGCGAGGATCGTCAAGGGGACTAGATTTCCCAAAGCTTTGGCCTGCAAGAACCCTGGAAAAGCGTCGCGCTCCATTGCCTGAAAGACATAGTCTTTCGCCGGATCAAATACTTCAGGATCATCTCTGCCGTCGTCCTCGATCAGATTGATGATGCCGGATACCATCTCCTCGGGCAGAACGATTTCTCTCTCTGCCCCCGGAAGCAGGTACGTATACAGAATCTTCTCTGCGCTGGCGCGAATATCGGCACGTGCCACCGTGTGGCCTGGAGAAGGCGAGTCATTCCGTGTTCCAGAACTGTCCCGAGGCGGCTGCTCATTCGAGGTGACGCGAGCAACATTCTGCGAACCAAGACTGCTTTGAGGCGAGTGTCCGGATGTTTGACCTTCAGAGCGGAGAAACGCCGACAGTCTCTGGTCAGCATCCCGGTCGCCCACATCGTTTAATCCATGGCGCGAGTTGGACGGTCCTGCTTCCACAAGCGGGATGTCATTGTAATGCTCGATATTATCCAATGCGCCGGAAGAGCCTTTGCTGTCGGCCTTCTCAAGATCAGGCGTAGCTACCAAAACGGACCGACGTAGTTCCCGAACGTAATGACGACAGAGGGACATGTGTTGCGAGACATCGAGCCTAAGAGACATGGGTTATTAATAGCCCAACAGCAAGTAACACATTGTTTCCCAGACATACCAGAAGTCCAGATAATCCACCGAGCGCTGCTGGTCCCGCATATAGATATAGAAGGAAAACAGGTCGACGGGAGCGAGGGTCCGGCGACTGAGGACTTCGAAGAGCGTGGGGAGGCGATTGCGCTGCTCCAAGCTGGAAAGAGACGGCGACGCCATGGTGGAACGAGTGTTGGGAATCTCTCTTGCTGAAGGGTAGGTGTTGGATGTTTTTTTTTCTCTCTCTCTCTTTCTGAGTCAAGCTCGAAGGAGCTGCGTCGCGATGAGGGGCCAAAAAGGGGAACGAGCGAACGTCGGATTTGAGTTAGGAACGGGGGTGGACAAAGGAGTCGAAAGAGCAATTGGGAAGGGATCCGGCGCGTGTTTTGTCTGTAGCTGATCGAGGAAAAGGCTGGCGAGACGAGACGATAAAAAAAGAAGGACGGTCAAACAGTTGGAGTTCAGCACTCGGGCATGAGATTGCAGCGATACGGGGACGAATTGAGGCTTATGTGCAAGCCAGGAGGCCCTGCAGAGGGTCGTGAGGTAATCCGAGGCAGTAAACAAAACAGCCGACCGACTGCAGGAGAGGTCAGGAAGTTGCGACACAAGCCATCCAGGAGAGGCTCGGGAAGTGGATTCACAGGCAGCAGCAAGAGCAAGAGCCAGAAGAAGAAGAAGAGAAGGAGGGGAAAAGAGATTGACGAAGCCAAGGGTAAAAGCGAGGGAAAGGGTGTGGATGGCCAGCCCGCAGACACGCAGCGACGGGCGAAAAGACTAGTTTGGAGGCCAACCAGTTCGTGATTCGTGATGCCTGAGGGAGGTGCCTGAGTCCCCACTCTTTTCCAGCAATGGTTCTTCGCATTAATGTTTCCCCGAAATGACTTCGCTCCACTCGCGGCCGATCTTTTGACACTCGCCAAGGGGTAAACCTTTTTCTTTGCGAGCCGATGATGATGATGATGATTGCTTTTGTGTAAAGCGCGGATGAATTTCCTCCTGGTTTCGATTCTCGTAACTATAAGAGCAAGGTTACATTATTCCTTTTCAGTATTTCTCATCTGCAACGTAGGAAAAGAACTCCGCCCCAGTCACCCCAATTACGGTACATCCTCTATGCAACCCTTATGTTGGTCCTCATCTAATACTAGTTACTAACTGCATCTGTCCAACCGACAGGCTCCATCCATTCATCCCACCCAAAAAAAGCAACCCACGGCGGATCCGCACCGTTGGTTCTCGGTCGGTCCATAATAATAAGTGATAATTGCAGGGCCGTGGCTGGCAAAGACGAGACAGAATTTTCGTACCTTCGAGTCTGCATCTGTGCCCTATTTTTAATAATAATTATAATCTCGAACATTAACCATTTGCCGGGGGCGGGTCATGGACTGGACCGTTTATCTGCAAGCCACCCCAAAAACGAGTGTTTTGCTTTGTGCACTGGGCAAATAATTAGATTAAAACGGGACGGCAAATAATGAAAATCGTGCCGATGATAAGCCAGTGACCCCCCCGTTTTTAACTTCGTTTAAGGTTACTCAATGATATCATTGTTTATGGTGCATTTTCTAGTGTACACCGAACTATCTAGATAGCACAGAACAGCAAGTCTATTGAGTAGGACAAAATAATCAGAAGATATCGAAAACACCCACCTACCTTTCACCGCCATCTCCAGTATCCTGCTTAACTTCAGGAGATATGCTAGATGCCTTCTTCGACACTTCTAAGCTAACGCCAAGGCTAAGGTTTCAGTCCCAACTCTCTAACATGTCAGACCTCCATTGTTTGAAAGGGAACTTTGTTCATGGTCAGCTGAATCCGGTTTCCAACAATTCTCTGCAGTCGCTGGACTTGACCTCCTATTTACGGAAGCTTAACTCGACCAGTCTTATCTCTGCTGCATCCTCGATGGAATCCATTAAAAGAAAAATGCAGCTCCTGTGTCCAAGCCGATTATGGCGCATCCAGCGACTGAGTCACTTGAGAAACCCAATAGAAGGATTATACTAGTACTGCCACTATACATCCAACCATCAAGGAATGGAGTGATACAAAATAGGCTTCACAATATCATCTAACGAATCGTCGTTTCTTCTAACCAGACAGTAACAGTAGAATGCAGCGGCGATAAGAAGGACAATCGGGCAATTAGTGCTTATTGTAGAGGTCTTAAGAAGGACGTAACGGAGTTAACGGATTCGGGGTTCGGACTTCTACGGAGTATAATAACTATATCAAGGGCCCCAAATCCCATTGGATTCAGATATAATCTGCTCTCGCAGATATCATCTCAGCTGTTTCATGCGAAATGACGACCTCCAAAGTCCTCGTTCTCATCACCGGCGCCAACCAAGGCATCGGCTTCGCCGCGGCACGGCAACTAGCTAGCTCAAGCAAGTTCCATGTGCTAGTCGGCGCGCGCACGACACCCAAGGCCGAAGCTGCAATTAAGGAGCTGTCATCGGATGCAGTGGACAAATCAGCTCTCACACCCATCACCATCGATGTGACAGATGACGCATCTATCGCTGCAGCTGCCCAGACCGTATCGGAAACATTCGGACGTCTGGACATCCTGATCAACAATGCGGGCATTGCGCAGACACCTGCTACTACCCTGCGCGAGCAATACCGGCAAGTTTTCGATGTCAACGTGTTTGGCATCGTGGTTGTCATGGATACATTCCTCCCATTGCTGCGTGCGTCGACGTTTTCCGATCGCCGCATTGTCAATGTCACATCCGGACAGGGTCTGATCAGCAGAGCCGGCCACAGGGATCACCCGGCTAACGCAAAGACCTATTTCATACCTGACTACCGCAGTAGCAAAGCAGCGGTCAATATGATCACCGTCGCTCATGCGGTAAAGCTGGCTGAGGAGAAAATCACCGTCATTGCGGCTGCTCCGGGCTATTGCCGCACCAGTATCAACGGAGGCCAAGGGGTCAAGGAAGCAAGCGACGGGGCCAGGGTCATTGTGCGCGCTGCCACCGAAGGAGACCCGGAGAAACTGAGTGGGACGTTCGTCGCTGACGAACAATGGAGCCTTGGTTGGTGAAATAGCGCGCAATGGAGCAAACGAACAAACAAACGTTTCTGAACAAGGCTGCGACCGATCAATGTATCTAATATTGTCGGAAATTATCGAACACGAAATCGACAGAAGAGACAGGCTAAAAGCTAAGATGCGCCATGTTCTCCACACCTGGGTATTTGTTCATGCCACGGAAACGCCTTTCAAGAACTCCAACAACACACACAGAGTACACCATTATCAGTGACCATCGGCCAAGTGCTGCGTCATGTTAGCGATCGAGTATAGGCATTCAAGAAGGAGAATCAAGTCCTAATACTCACCGACCACTCCGGAATATTTCGTATCTGTTGCCACATGAATTTCTCTAATTTATTGGCACTCTTTGCATAGGGCGTGTTCTCGTTGTTGTACCTCCGGCAGTTATCAAATATTAACATAGCGTCTTTAATAAAATCTTGCGGCGTCGGGTACATGTCCTTTTCATGCTTCTCTTCCATGGTTGACAAGTCCATGGGCTCCTTAATGACTTCGTAATAGTCAGGAACCTCGTCGCGATTGACTGGCTGAGTAAAGGGCCATGCCGCGCTGTGGTTCTGCATGTCGTTGAGTAGATGTAGCAGCTGGTTGTAGTTGGGTCCGTGGCGTGGTTGACGTGCTAGTTCATCCATGTCCGGCGACCATCCCGACTCTTTGATAGCTGGTATACTTAATGGGTCGATCTTGCACGGACCATTCTTCCATTCCTTTGGGGGCACGTGAATTATATGTGAGCGACTGAAGGCCCGGATTTTCGCGTGTACAGCTTCTTTTTGCTTTAAAAGCATGCGGCCAACCTCGAGGTACCGTATCTTAGGGAGCATGGTGCACTGCATGATTGTACCACCCTCGTAATCTTTGATGTATCCCATCCACACGGACTTGTCGAGAGTAATCTCTTTGGTGAACCCTTGTTTTTTGAAGTAGCCAATGGCGTAATTGTCGGCGTAGGTCAGGAAATGCATGATGTCCGATGTGGCTTTCACATAATCCTTAAGATGGGACATCAAGTGCGCACCGTATCCTTTGACCTGCTGGTCGGACGAAATGGCACAGAAAACGATCTCGGCGAACCTGCGGCTGTTGAACGGCCGGTATGTAATCCCTCCCACAACTTCCAAAGGGTGTTTGACGATGGCCAAGGAAAGATGCGACCTGTCGTAAACCAATCGCGCGATATAGTCTTTGGGCATCTTCGGGAGCTGTTTTTGAAAGATACATTTGAGACCTGTAAGGACAACAAAACTGTCGCGTGAACCATCGTTATTGACTACACGAAACTCGATATCGCCGCGACGTTCCTCCAGTACTGCAGGCTATCATGGAGTCAGCGTCATCGGAGCTCGGGCGGGTCTGCGGGCTGTCTGAGGGCTTACCTTCTCCGGGAAGGGAACGATTCTCGGTGGCTTATCCAGGAGGTCATCTTCAGTCTAATGCAGACAAAGTACATTAGTGCCATACTTCATACAAAGATATCATGCAACATACCTTGGGTTCCCTCTCGGGAGAGTCAGTGCGCGCCTTCTTGTGGGAATCTGGGGAGAGCGCCTCCTCCGATGCTTTCCGCTTGGCACCTGAACCTGACATGAGCAAATAGACCAGGACAGTCGCGAAGACGCGTGATCCAGCATCAGACACTTACTATCCGTGATCGATGGCATGTTGCGCGATGAATATTGATGACTTCTAGACGAATGCGTCTTGAACCTCAGCCTCTCTCTCCACACGAGCTGCGGCCGCGATACGGGGAGCGGAACGGGAGGATGTTGATCCGCGGCCGTCAAGCCAGATAACCAATTACTAGTTCGGGCTCCATGGCATTACGACGACAGCTTGAGGGAAGCTCCCTCTCCTTCTTCTCCTCATTTCCTCTCTTTAACTGTCTTCTCTCCTTTATACACAAGCCATTGAAATTAAGCGCACCTCACAAGCCCTCATGTCTCTGAACGAAGCCTGGCAGGCAGCTTCTGCAAGCCCGTATACTCCTCCGGTCTCTAAGGACAACCAGTTCCTTGTCGGCTTCAGTCTACTACTTGCTGGTGAGCCGGATCCGACCTCTCACGCTCCAAACAATTACTAACTTACAACAGCTTTCATCCTCACTGGACTTTTCGGGTTGAGTCAGTACACCGCACCAGAGATCTTTTCAACTTCTGAAATGTCTCGCACTATGATCACAAACGCATACTTACAACTTGAGCAGATCGTTCCTTCCTCAGCATCGCTTCCTTCGGAGTCCCGGCATCTTTGGCGTTTGGGTAAGCCGCAGACCCTAATAGCAGCCACTCTGTCAACCATCGCTAACAAATGCCACCTTTAGCTTCGGAGCCGTATTCATGATCTGTGCCGTTGGGGTCTACGTTTAAAAAATTCCAGTTGTTTCCCAGATACCCATGTACCATACACTGGAGAGTTTGAAACGAAGCAAATCGTTACCTTTATAATCACCAGAGTTCTCTTCGCACTCCAGCTCTCTATCTTAACATAGCTCTCGACTCTATACCCTGTCGTGCTTAAGCCAATCCCACTCCAAATCATCATGACGGACACGGAACCCATTTTCACTGCTGTCTCCAGCAATGCCCACCACCTCTACACCCTCCTTCAATGCATCGGCTTCGCGCCCAGAGCCACCGTGCAAATAACCCCGGATGGAATCCGCTTCTCCGCAGAAGAGATGCGAGTCATCCAAGGGCTCGCCTTCCTCGACAAAGCCCTCTTCACCAGCTACACCTTCAACCCACCAACCGCGCCAAACCAAGGGACGACAACGGACGACAACGACGACGACTCAACTTCCGACCCCTCCACCTATTACCCATGCTTCGTCGTCTCCTTGTCCGCTCTCCTAGAAACCCTAAAGATCTTCGGCACCAACGACTCCTCCACCAACCCCAACGCCGGTCGAGCATCCAGCGTCCAACCAACCCACCCATCTGGACCCGGCGCCTTCTCCGCCCCCAGTTTACTCCTAGACCGCTCCTGCACAATCCGCTACACCAGCGAAGGCTCGCCCCTCAGCATCACGCTATCGGAGACGGGGGTCAAAACCACCTGCGAATTAACAACCTACGAAACAGAAGGCAGCGAAGTCGACATCCCCCTTCAACGAGATGCCATCATCATGAAGATTATCATGCGCTCTGCCTGGCTCCATAACGCCGTCTCAGAATTAGCCGCTACAAGTCCATCGGTGTTGAAGATCTCCGCGTCCGCGACCCGCGAACCGTTCTTCGCTCTCTCCGGCACGGGAGGCTCGTTCAGCGAGTCGTCTGTAGAATTCTCCGTCGAGAATGGCGGGGCTAATGGGCAGGGAGGCGATGCAAGAGGCTCAATTGATGAAGGTTCCCGTGCGAAGAAAGCCAAACTTGCACCGACTGTCACGGAGACGTTTCTTGTCAGTCCGCCGTCGTCGATGGGGTCTCGTCTCAAGCAGAATTACAAGTTTGCGCTGATCCAGAAGGCGGCGCGTGCTATGGCGGTGGCTAATAAAGTGAGCATTCGTGGAGATCGGCAGGGTGTCTTGAGTCTCCAGTTCATGATTGAGTTTGATGCTAATGGGGCTGGTGGTGTACGGCCTCTGAAGGGGGGTCCGCCACCTGTTGTGACGTTTGTGGATTTCCGGTTTGTGCCGTTGCTGAATGATGAGGATGGTGATGATCTGGAGTAAGTGGTACTTGATTATCGTATAGATTGGGTTTACATAGTTGGACATCATGGTGTATGTCAAAAAGCAATAAAGTCTTCTTTTCTGATTCCCCAACGCCGCCTCATGCTCGGTAACCATATCAAATACCAGGTAATTTTACATAGAACGTAACCATAAGATTGCTGATAAAACCGCCCTTCCTTCCATAGGGGGAGACTTGCAGTTCATAGCATATTCGGAAACTCGAAGAGTGACCACATCACATAACCTGAACAAGAAAACGTTAGTCTTTGACTTTCACTTAATCCTAGATATATATCACACTGAGGGATAACGGAGAAGGGAGCAAACATACCTCAGCAATAGACTGCCTCTCAATAATCGACTTCTGCTTCTCATTCCTCGAAACCCGATAATAGTAGTCACTAAAGTCACCGCACTGCATATGCCGCAAGAATTCCTCGTCATGGGTAATGACAATAAGCTGGAAGTTCGCCTGCTGCTGTCTAGTCCTGATGATATCATGAAGCGATTCCGCAAGCGAGCGAATATTATCGCGGTCAAGATTCGTCGTAGGTTCATCAAGAGCAATCAAACCGCAGTTAACACCGAAGCACTCCGCAAGAGCGAGTCGGATGATGATACTTGCTAGCACCTTTTGACCGGCACTGCAGCGGCCGCGCATATCCATTTCTGCGCCTTGTTTGACCATGCAGACGCGGTAGTTGTAGGAGCGATTGCCCTTGGCGTTTTCGTTGTCGGAGCGGATGAGGATCGTGTCGACGTCTGTACCTCGGTAGGTCTTTTGCCAGAGCTCGCTGATGATGGCATTGATTTCTTCCATTTTGAGCCCGTGGTATTTCATGATGGCTTTGTCGAGGGCGCCGCCATACCGCGCTAGGTCGTCCACTGCGGCTTTGGTTGTTTCCACTTTGATGTGAGCTTCTTTGTACTTGCTTGCTGCGTCTTTGTAGTCGGTGTTCCAGTCTGCGAGGAGCTGCATCAGTTGGTCGTCTTTGGATTTCATCTCGCCCATTTTGCTGGCTTGTTTGGCGGCGAGCGCGTTGTGTTCTCGTGCCCTGCGCTCGGATTCTTCTTTAAAGCGGCTTCGGTCAACTTCAGCGTTTTGGGCCGCCAGCTGTTCGATCTCTTCGGTCACTTCGTCGAGTGATCGGGTCGCCTGGCGGTATGTGAGGTTATCTGCGTATTGACGCTTGGTGTTTTCGCTGTCCTTAAGTTGGGCGGAAATCTTGTTGATTTCTTTAGTAATATTGGCCTGCTCGACTTCGAGATTGCTGATCTCGTTCTCGATGCTCTGCAGTTCACGCTTGCTCCGCTCTAGTTGATGAGGGCCGCCTCGCTCGTTGTAGGCGTCGATCTCCTCGTTAGCCAGTTCAAGTTGGTGTACATTCTCATAGAGGTTTGAGATCTCCTGCTGCATGTCCTTTTCACGCGCTTCAGCACGCTGGCTGATATCGTCGTACTTGGCTTGAACCTTGAGGAGTTCAGGCGTTAGATCTTCAATCTCCTTGTCCGCCTTTGCAATTGCTTCGCGTTGTTGGTTGTTGAGGTTTTTGTACTCCTCAATGCGAGCCAGGAGGTCCGCCTTCCGCTCAAGCTTGAATTTCACGTTGTCGAGATTACTCTTGACGTCCCTGAGCTGTAGCTCCAGTTTGTTCATCTCAGACAATGTTTGCTCCTTCTCATGGGTGAGTTTCGACAAAGTCTTCTTCAAGGTTCGGGACTTTTCGCCGATTCCCGCAATTTCGTCCTGGATATCTTCCAGTGTGCGAGAGGCGTTTGTATCTTGCTGTTTCGTAGACAATTCCTGGACTTGAGAGCGTATGGCCTTGATTTCACTGTCGTATCTGACAATAGTATTGACCGTCTTTGACAACGACTCGACCTCTTTCTTTTTATCGGCCTTTTCGCTGACTATCTTGTCGTTCTCTTCCAATTGGCTCAAGAGCTTGTCTTGTTGAGCAATATACTCTTCTTCCTCTTTCTCCAGATCTGGGATTTCTGTCTGCTTCAGCCGACACCAGGTATCGTAGGCTGTGCTGGCCTCGCGGGCAGTATTAAGGTCCTCTTCAAGACGGGGTATATCGTCATCCTCCATCACCCTTTTCGCTCTTTTCACTAACCCCTCTAACTTGTTCCTGAAGGTCTGTAGCTCGTTTTCGGTTCGGAAAGTCCGCATGCATAATCTGCACATGTTTGCTGACTTCACTGTTTCGAGACAGTCAGCCATGTACTTGCTGACTCCAGCGTATTGTTCAGCGTCCTTCCTGGCTAGATCAAGCTGAGCTTGACGCTCTTTTAGGATCTCGGGGTATTCTTCCGGTTCGTCATCGACGGCATCGCGGATCTCTTTAATGCACTCCTTTAGCTCCTTCTGTCGCTGACTTAATGTTTTCCTGACGCCCTTCATTTTGAACTCCACCTGCTCGAGTTCTCTGCTGACTCCATCACGCTCGCGCTCTGCCCTTGAGACATGTCTGGATTCCTCCTCTATGACGTGCTGGTAATCCTGCTCTATAGATTCGGGGCTCCAGTTGGCGTTCACAAATTTCGTTAGTCGTTCCCCATGGGCTCCTTTCATCGTCTCCAAACTGCGCTCTCGTTCCTTCAACTCCTTCTTGAGGTGGTCTAGTCGAGCCAAATCACCAGCCTTCTTTGTCGCCTCAATGAGCTCGGTATTCAAGCGCGAGCTCTCATCCTCAAGGTCGCGGATCTGTGAGTTTACATTCTGAATCTCCTTGTCCCAAGATGCGGATCGTGCGCGCTCTTTGGCATGGTCCAAACGAGATCCGATGTCTTCGATATTCGACTCCAGCGCAGCCTGGACTCCTTCGTCCACATTGATCTCGTTGAGCTTTCCTTGGTAGGTGGCTGCTTCTCTATCGTTCGAGGCAATCTGTCGCTTGGCTGCGTTTTTACTTTCCTGTAGCGCCGACCTCTGTTGTCCGATCTGGTTAAGGGTTGCCTGGACGTCGCGTAGTTCACTTTGGGCCTCTTTCTTCACTCGTTCCAATACCTGGTTCTGATCTTTCAGGATCTTTCGCACTCTCCGCATAAACTCATCAACGTCCGCCTGATCCTCGACATTATCAAACCCACGAATATTGTGCGCTCGAGCGACCTCTTTCGTCATCCTTTGTCGCCGCTCAACCTGGCGCTCGAAGTTGGCTTTGTCGTTCTCAAACTTGCCGTACTCAGCTTGTTTGACACCCAGCCTTTGGCGAGTTTGCTCGATCTGCTCCTTGAGCTCCATATAGTTCTCCTTTTTGGCTTCTTCTTGCTGCTGGTACTGAAGTTGCCTTGACTCAAATTGCTCCAAGTTCGACTGAAGCCACTCATCGGAGTCGTCTAGCTCAACCAGGTGTCTCTTGAGATTATCAATAGTCGTCTGAATACTCTTTGCCTCAATGCGCTTTCCTTCAAGCGCACCCAGAACCTGAGAGTAACTTTCCGATTCCTTCCAAGCTTTATCAGCAAGCTCGGCCACTCGGCGCATTTCCTGGGAGAGCTGGTGTGTCTCTTCGCGCAGAGCTTCAATTTCATCCTGGAGTTTGATCGATCTTTTCTCTGCACGGTCGGCCTTCTCCTTATCCTCCTTGGCATGTTGCTCCATTATCTTGTACTTAGCAAGCTCCTCATTCTGCTTCTTCCGCAATGCTTTGATATTGTCAATCGCCTTCGTGTACTTCATGGCTTCAAAGATCTCATCAAACTTCTTTTTCAGGACTGACGGTTCACTCATCGGCCACAAGCTTTCGTCCTGATGGCAGAATATAACGGAGTCCAGGATGGCCTTCGACACGCCGAGATACTGAGGCATGATCTGATCCAACTCTGCCACCCGGGAGGAGATAGATGTCCGCTCACCGTCCTTAACCATCAACAACTGGCCCTCTAGCGTCTTCTGCTGTCGTGTTGTTTTCTTCACCGTGAGTTGTAGACTCCTCGTAGCCACCATCTTTGCACCCGACGTGCCCTTAAAGGACAGTTTCACCTGGGCTAGGACTTCCTTTTCGCCACATAGCTGCCATTATACGTCAACATGTCTGCCCGTCCTACTCAGTACCATATGTTATAAATCGCTTACCTTCGGATCGTGGATGAACGCACCACCCTTGCTATTGGGTGGTAAATCGCCGGTAGTCGCATATTTAAGACACTCGATGATTGTCTGCCCCCAACTCCATTAGCCCGACGACTTCCATAGTACCATCATACTCTATTCATCATACGGTCTTTCCAGATCCATTATACCCAACAATCAACGTAAGAGGAGTGTGAAACTGAATCGTCTCGCTGCGCGTATTATCGAACGACCGAACACTAGAACCCATCGCCAGCAACCCGGTCAGCAACTCACTCTCATATTTATTCTCATCCGAATAATATCTAAGGAAATCACTCACCCCAATATCGACAACTTATCTATCTTCGCTGCGACAAGCAAACCCAGATAGTCAGTAACCTCAGCGTTCATCCAATCGATCTTTCACACGACCCTCCGCGGAACTTACACCTGCGGACGGGCTGATTAGTAAAGAATGTTTGTAGCCGGATGCAGAACAAAAGCTCACATTTTGGAAGACGTCACTTCACTATTGGAAGGGGGAAAAGAAAGAAGAAAAGGCCCGGTCCGTTTCCACGGATGCGTAAGGGTAGGTAGCAGGCCTGCAAATCACACCTTCCCCGTGATTCTCCACTCGGGATAGACAAAGCGTGCCGGATTGATAGCGAGCAGCTGGGCTTGGGATCGGCGCGTCGGACGACGCGGGGAGACGGCGCGAGGTCACGTGTATGGGCGGTCAGCTGGAGGTATTGGATATTGGTTTAGTATAGATGCTTTCTAGGTATCACCACTGGGATGGGATGGAATGGGGGGGTATGTTGTTGGGCAGACGCTTTTGTGAAATAGTAGGAAAGTTTGTGGTTTGCTAATGTTTTCTTTCGGGGCATGCTTTCCCTTCCTTGGAGGCACTCTGTACTTCGTGAAACTATGGGGACGGACGGTCCATTCTTGGAAGAGCGACGGGTGGTAAGTTGACTACATGAGCTACAGGATGATGTTCCTGCTGGTTCGTCTGTATACAAGTAAGCAGATGAGATTCCTGCGCGGGATGCCTGCGTTAAGCTGTTTGATATCGGACTGCAACAGGTAATCACTGGCATTTCTCTCCGGGGGGTTTTCGTCTTATTTGACAACATCAAATCGTTCAATGCAACGACTAGTGGGTTTGTGGATTGATACTCCTATATCTTCGCTGTGTCCCGTGTTGCACGTACTCTTAGGTTCAAAAGGCTGTGTCTCAGGTGTAAGCAATGAGCATGACAGATATGATGATATTGACTGTAGATTTTGGCTAGAGCGGTTACTCAGGTGCACCTAGGATTGATGTTGCGAACACTAGGTGTCACATATAAAATTCTCACCTTCCCTCCCAGCCTTCTCACGTTCAATACTCTCTCAAACCCAATCTTCTCATCGAACCACCCTTACCCTACTCCGATCACATTCAGATACTGTACCCATTGACCTCCAGTCAGGATGTTTTACTTCAAGAAGATCATCACCCTCTTATTCCTGTCCTGTCTCTTCTTCAAGGCTAGCCTGGCCACTCCTTTTGCCGAACCAACCGACGTTGCCAACGCCGATGATGTAGTTGCTGAGAACATTGGCACTGCAACCGTCAACAACCCTAACGAGGCCTCCGACGATGTCGACGGTAACGGCATGTCCGCAGCTTCCACGGATGTTGAGAAAGAGTTGAACCCTGCAAGTGCCATCCTGATTGACTGGTGCAGCCAGCGCTAACCGAGATTCTCAGAACGATCGTTTCTGCGAAAGCAGGTGCAGCGTCTTGAATTTGTGCAATTGCAACGATAAAGATTATCATAGCTGTAGTTGTCACTACCATGGACTGAGGTGCAGGTGCAAATACTAATTGTGAATCAACAGTAAGTAAGTTATTCCAGCCGAGTGGTGCATCATCAAAGCTGATGTTCTCTTTGGAAGATAGCGGCTGCCAAGCTTCCGTTACCTTATGTGCATGCTGTAGTTTGCTTCTGACGTGTCGGACAAGGTAGACGGTGGGGCTTGGCCAGTCAAGGCCTCGGTCTCAGAAAATGGGGAAGGATCCTGGAATAGTGATGGCAGTAATTGTGGTTCTCAATTTCCTTGGGAGGACCTTCACACTGAATTTACTTGCCAAAATAGTAGCTCTTTTTCAAACGAAGCAGATGAACCTTGAGATACTGTAGCACATGAGTTCACTTGAGATATAAAGAGAGCTATTGTAGTCAGCCATTCCTGACCATCTCATGGCTCTGCGTACCTCGTCATCAGTAGTAGCCTGAGTGGAAAATGCATTCATCCTTCGTAAGGCTGGAAGGATGAATATCGCACGAGCATAGTATTAGACTCCCCAAGATAGGGGATCATCCCGCCGGTAGGACATTCCGGGTTTGGTCTGCGCCTGGGCTCGCTTATTACTCTGGGCCATCTCCACCGGCGCCTAACAGAGTCCAACATACCCGTTCGCGTGGATGCGGTGTGGTCTGACATCTGCAATTGCACAGACGGGTGACCGTTAGCAGCTGCAGCTTCCCAGCTTTGCATGCTTGTTCAGGGTGGAATGGCAGATATCGTAACGGGTGTTCGGTGTGAATATCCCACGGAGTGATAAGAGAAGGCAAACGTGGATTGCAGGCTCCTCGAGGGACGATAGCTAAAACAGTCGGTGGTCGATAATTACATATATTATTGATGCCTGATATCAGCCCACAAAATTAAAATTAGCAGATGGCGGCGCTACACGATGCACGTCCCTAGCGGATCTAACGGAAGCCAGATAGTTCAACCCGTGGTTGACAAGATAGATAATCCCACACCATACCACGCAGGATGATGTATGCTTCAGGGATGAGGTGATCGTGACAGGAAAGGAGTAGGAGTAGAGAGCCAGTCAAGAGGGATATAATCAAGGATAACCCATGGGGTCATCGCAAGTGAAATCCAAGCGAAGCAGCAAGAATACCCAACCTTGAAGCAATGAAGCATCGACTGGGATGCCCCCTGCAGCAATCATACAGACATACCGACCTGTATCGTACAACCGTACCTGAGGGTTTCCCGAGGCCGCAACAACCCACCAATCAGTATCCTGAAATGTGCGGAAATCCCCGGGAAGCCCCATCGGCGGATTTGATTGGCAGCCGCAGTGGATCCCGCGTGTCGGTGCGATACCAATGACGATGTGGCCGGCCAAAAGTACAAGAATTGACAGCTCTACTGGATTCACCACCGCGGTCATGTCCAGAAAAAGTCCAAGAAACACTGCTCACTTACCCTCTCTTCCTTCTACCTCTATCCCCTCCCAATTTCTTTCTGTATCATATCCTATATAGGGAACTTAAAGGAGTTATCTCATCCCGGGAAGAGGCGTCCCCACCACCCCGGCGATCGATCGATTTGATCCCCGCGCAGCCCAGCGATGGAACTCGAATTCCATCGAGGACGAAGAGTGGCGCAGAACCAGATTCCGTCCCAGGCATACGGTCTCCGAGCCCCAGTGTCGAACTCAAAACCACCGGGGCCCCAGTATAGCATGGACGCGCGGAGTATTCCTCGCTCGATGAGCCGCGGTGCCGCTAATCTGCTCCAACTCTCCGCTTCTGCTACCATCTCTTCTTCCACTGCTACTGCTGCTGCCACTTCAACAACTCCTGCCACTATCACAACCACAGTCCCTGCTCTTGCTTCCATACCTACAACTACTACAGCGCCAGCAGGGACCAACAACCCCCAGCACCCCACCCCCGACATAGGCCTTGCCGGCACCAACAATGACGGCTGGTCTGCACGGGTACTAGACGAACTAAAGGACCTGCTCCTTCTTCTCAGTCACGATGGGCAGGTTCTATACGCGTCACCATCATGCTCTGAGGTGACAGGGATTGAATCGCACATGCTAGAACAAAGCGATTTCTCCCGTTTCGTCCATGAAGACGACAAGCCTATCCTAGGCCACGAATTGGACGAGTGCATCAAGACTGGACGCGAAATACGATGTCACTTCCGGCTCTGTAGGCCTGACAGTAGCTCCTGTTTATTAGAAGCACATGGACATCCACACCTGATGACGACCGGAATTGCTCCTTCTGCGACCGCAGAATCATCCCAGCAGCCGCAACGGAAGACAGTCTGTAAAGGGATATTTCTCGTCTGTCGGCCATACCCAACACGGGGGTCACAGTTACTCGATTCGTTTTTGGAACACAAGATCGAGAACATCCGGCTGAACCAGCGCATAGCCCAACTAAAGGAAGAGGAAGAAGAGGAGTTGAATTCGAGACCAGGGCAGACGTCAACGACAACGACGACCAGCACCACTACCACGACGACAACGCGCCAGACGTATGTCTCAACGACACAGACCTCGTTTGCGCAACGAGATACATCAGTATCTGGAGAGGAGAATGAATCATCCGATACAGTCACCAATACGGACGACGCCGATTCACGATCGTTTCTGGAGCAGGTTGGGGATCGGTTGCCGCAGACTGAAGACATGTCTCATATTGACGGGATTGAGGTCATGACGGGTTTGTACTACGGAGAAGAAGAACGATCACAGGGATTGAGTACGGGAGTCCGTCATGGCCGTCTGATTCGTTGTAATACGGAGCAGCCGAATGCCGTTGCTGCCGGTTCTGCTGCTACTGCCGCTGCTCCGAGCGACCAACAACAGCAGCAGCAGCAGCAGCAACCGTCGCAGGTGCAACCGCAATCACAGCCCAAGAATCCTGCAGAGGCCGTCGACAGGAAGAAAAGGATGAAAGGGGAGTATATGTGCACGGATTGCGGGACGTCGGATTCACCCGAGTGGAGGAAAGGCCCAGAAGGGCCAAAGACCCTGTGTAACGCTTGTGGATGTGAGTTCTCCCCTTCCTTGATCATCTGACTATATAAATTCTGTATCAGTATTAACAGTGAAATGTGAACAGTACGTTGGGCCAAGAAAGAGAAAAAACGCCAGGATTTAGGGCCGTAGTGAGGGAAAACGCAAAGAAAAGAAAAGAAAGGGTGGGGCTTGCATTTGTATGAATTGTCATTTACTATCTACTGCTTTGCTGCTGTTGCATTTGCCAGAAGGGGCCAATTTAGCCCTGCGAGGATACCCCTGCTTATGTACCTTTGTGCATCGTGCTTTTTTTTGTTCTCCTCGGTGGCCCGCGAGGGGTCAGAACATTTTCTTAGCGGCTGCGCTGTCACAGCATTTGCACTTCTTGGCCTACTACTATCACATTATGCCCCTTATCCTCTGAAGTGAACAGATATCATGACTTTATGCCCGATTTACTTGAACTATACTTTTCTCAGATTGCAACTTTAACACCGAATGAAACTAAAATGAACTCCACATGATTCCAGTACGCAAGATGGTATGTAACCCAAAGCTGGAGGGTGTAGGTGCAGGGATGGTGGGGGAGGATCTGGTACTTGACAGGGTAGAGAGATACGTAGAGATATATAACAAAGCGTCGGCGAAACACCATGTTTAGGGAAGACTAAAGTAGCCTTTCAGATAAGGCTACCTAGAACCAACCCTACGCTAGTCCGTTTAGATGAACATATAGTACCTACTGATATGCAAATCATCTTTTCTATTAACTAATCCGTCTAAGCAAAATGATATCTAAACTAGAACTATGCCCCCTGGTGCGTATATACTAAGTGATCTATATCTAACAGCATGAAAAGATGAAATCTTGACTTAGCTGCAACGCATCAGTTCTTGTTGGCCCCCTTGTGGACCGCCTCCAGTCCATCATGAGCAACGTCCTTAACCGAAACTTTGCCACTCAAGATATCCTTAGTTGTAGCGAGAATAGACTCCCAGCTCTCGAAAAGCGTGAACGGAATCTTCTCGCGCTCGCAGAATGTCACCAAATCTGGAAGAGTCAGTGACTACAGAATGCAAATCTCAATGTCGGAACTTGGTAAACACACCCTTGCCCTTCTTGGCAAATAGAAGATCAGTCTCTGCAGCGGCTGACAAATCAGACACGCCATCTCCTGCGTACAACAAGGTCGGGCGCACACTGTCCGGCAGTGCGGCATACGGCTTGATTTCCAGCGACTTGTCGTGGCCGAAGTGGCTAGCAGTATGACGTCAGTTCTGGCCCAGCGACCGGTTCAAGAAGTTTTTCCTTACCTGTCGTCATGGTACTTGATCTGCCAGCCGCCCTCAGAGTTGATATCCTTGCCATCACGGCTCTCGACCTGGTTGGCAACGATGTAAAGGTGGTCGTCTGGTTCGCCGCCTAGAAGCGTCTCGAAGAGGGCGCTGATGACTGGAACCATCCCGGAAGACAACACCACGATCGGGACATTGTTCTCTCTGGACCACTTGTAGAATTCCACAAAGTAGGGATCCAGCTTCATGTTCTTCTTGAGGTACTCGATGCACTCGTTGTAGGGGGTCTTGATGCTGTCCAACATGTCGCGAAAAGCGTCACTTCGCAAGGAAGGTTAGTGAGGTGCGTACACATGCTGCCTGTACCCACATACCGGAAGCTCATGGTGCCCTCGAGAACGGCCTCGTTTCCTTGACGGCGCTTTACGCGCCCGTAGCCAAGGTTATCAATCTTGCGACTAAGTGTCAGTGGCATGCAGGTTTACTGGGTGCTTGTAGGTTATAGAGGGTAGATACCATAGCATCATTGCCTGCATAGAGTACTTAGCTAGTGGACTTGCTGTGCGAACTTCGTCTGTACCTACTGTCTTCGAGGGTGATCGTTCCATCGAAATCCGTGAAGAATATGAGCTTGGGGTTCGTTTTCATGTACGGTAGCGTAGTAACAGTCATGGTGAAGGTCTGGTTGCTATTGTTTCGCGGAAATATTTCTGTAGTTTTGGTGTCAGTCCCAGCACCAGCTGACATATAGCGCCTCTGATCGCGAGAATTTGGGTGATACTCAAAAAGTAAACGACGGCTACCTCCGTCTTTGGGAAATGGAACAGGGGGAACAAACCTAAATCGAAAACAGCAGATGAAGATGCGCGGGACCGATAGAAGTAAACCAGTCGGATAACTGGGTAACGGAAAAAAAGAAAAAGAAAGATGTGCTTGACGGACTTGGAGGACTAAGGAAGAAAGAGAGAGATGGAGCGACTCAAACTAGAGAAGCAAAGAGAGAAGAGAAGAACCCCGCGGTGAGAAAGCAGAGACTAGACTCGATCAAGTGCAAAGAGGGACAATCACCAGCAACGATGGATCCATGCGGAGTTCCCCATAATTTCCAGCGCGACACTAAAAGGTGAATTGTCCTTTCTCTTGTGGAGCCAGTCTAGCATTTCCCTTGTCTAATCTTGTCTAATGCTAATTTTCTGACTATTCTGGGTCTAGCCGAACCGAGTATCTTCCCGGAGGTCTCCAAACCAAGTCCCGAATTTTTGATGCTCGATCTTTTCGGCGCCGATACTTTCTCGGACACTTGAGGGCATCACTCCCTCCGAATCTTCACACGCCATGGCTCGTCTACTGCAATCATTGCGTCGAGCCCTAGGTTTAACCTCTTCGACTCCGGTCCCTCGCTATGCCCGCTCAATCGACACCAATTTCTCCGTCTTTCGGGGTATGTCACACACCTTAATTCGACTGAACGCCGTTCCCTCGTTCACGGTTGCGCGCCATCGCACACTAACAGATTAAATCCACCACTTAGAGGGAGATAGAGTTGTGGTTCATGGCAAGTCGCCGCTCCTAAGCAAGCCTTTGCGGAAGGGTCACAAATCCGATACTCGTCGCGGACAATTGGAGCACGACAACATCATCGGCCGGAGGGTACGGGATCTGGTTCAGGCGCGGAAAGGTCAGCATCTTCATCATTCTTCAATTAACCCAGCCGGGCGCGCTCTAATTATCTCCGATAACTACAGGCCCTGAATATCGACTCTCCCTCCCTACGCTCGAAGAATATGTTGCCATGACCCCCCGTCTCGTCACGCCGGTACGGACCTAACCACACCGTCAACGAGCACCACCACCCTCATTAACGCATGCCAATAGATCTACTCAGCAGACGCCAACCTAATCGTCTCCCTCCTTGACATTCACATCGCACCCCCAGCCGAAGGAACAGACACACCGCCCCTTGAAATCCTCGAATCCGGCACCGGCCACGGCTCCCTGACCCTTCACCTAGCGCGCGCCATCCAAGGCGCCAACTCTACTCCTCCACCCCTCCCACCAAGCTCCCAAGTCACATACCTGCCCACAAAACCCGGCGAGGTCTCGACCCGCAAGTTACAGACACCCGCAGATGGCGCCCCAACACCGACCGTCGACCCAGACCAGGAGAACTGGGACACCTGGCGCTCCCAACGCAAAGCAATCATCCACACCGTCGACGTGACACCTAAATCCTCCGTCCACGCCGAAGGCATCGTTCGGGGTTTCCGTCGCGGCATCTACGCAGGCAATGTGGACTTCTATGCCGGACACGTGGAGGATTGGATCGCAGAGCAGAAGAGACAACGCGCACCTACGGGCCTCCTTTCTTCACTCACAAAAGATGATGTTGAGCCGTTCCTCTCCTACGCAATCCTGGATATGCCCTCCGCGCATCTACGGATCCCCCACGTCGCCTCGATACTGAAGCGGGACGGCATTCTAGCTGTATTCATGCCAAGCGTGACGCAGATCGGCGACTGTGTGGAGCTTATTCGTCGACAGAGACTTCCTTTTGTTCAGGATAAGGTTGTTGAGCTCGGAAACGGTATCAGCAGTGGTCGGTTGTGGGATATCCGGCACGCGGTGAAGAAGTCCCGTGACAGTGTGTCGGTGGCTTCCTCGTCCGCCGAGGAGGGTTCGGAAGAGTCCGTCGAGACGAGTGCCGTTGAGACTGAGTCCCTGGACGTCGCTGAAGAGAAGACGCCCAAGGAGGAAGACAGTGTGCTTGTGTGCCGGCCAAAGGTTGGCTCGCGGATAGTGGGCGGTGGCTTTGTCGGAATCTGGAGAAAGATAGAAGAGGATGCGCGGAGACGCTGAGCTGAGCTGAGCTTTGTTCAGTCACGCGTTTTATCTACCTACCTACTGTATTCTTGGATACCCATTTGTACCATAACATGCATATCATAGAAGAAAGACCTACCTCATGTACTACTACTCAAAATTCATTTACTGTTCTATAACCAACCATCCAAATACAATGAGATCAGAAAACACGCTCTATCAATCAAAGCACGCATATGCATTTACCAGAATACGATTCACAACTTAAATACGGAGACAGGGGGTAAGAAGGCCCTCAAGTAAAAAAAGATAAGAGAAAAATTAACGAACCAGATAAGAACAGGGCTTATTGAAATATACTAAACGCACTGCACCATTCCGCTTTCCCCATACCAAATAGAAGTCAATCAACCACCCGCTCTCTCTTTCTACATCAAAGAAAAATCAACAACAACAAGCTCAGCTTATAGACGTCAAGTGATTCCAATCAACGAAGCCAAACCAACAGGCACGTATGTAGAGAGAACCGCCGACCAGTAGTAGTCGCCTAAGGATACAACGAGCACATACACCACACACACACATACACGTAAGACCGATTCGCCCGCCTAAGTGCAAAAATGAGATGAGATGAAGACGGTAGGAAAGGAGAGAGAATCCCGTGCCTGGGATTCAATCTACAACAGATAGAGGAAGCAGATGAGACTTCGGTGAAAGGAGAAACGTTGGAAAAGTGAAGAAAAAGTATCGTCGTTAAGAAGAAAAGGCATAATCAGATCCTAACACATACCAAAGCTGAGAGGAACGACGTAGTAGAAAGAGAGCGTGAGAGAGTGTGTGCGTGAGAGAAAAAAAAGCAAAGCTGCTGCGCCGGTGTGACTACATTCCAAAGATGATGCATGGATACGCAGGTTCCATTTGAACGAAAGTCCGCTGGGCGGCAGCAGTAAGCAGGAAGTAAACTCACAAGAATGGAAGGAAAAAGAAGAAAAGGAAACAAAATGCAACAAGAGCATGATAGCGTAAGGAAGAAAAAAAGAGTAAAAAAAAGTTAACACCACAGACACGCGAAAGGCCCCCAAAGATTCCGAGATAACAAGATGAACCGGCTACACAAACACCAGTCTCGTAAGATTCAACATGCACCGTCCCTTCAATTCCGTTGCGGCCCAAAATCCGCTTCCACAACCTTTCCCTTTTTCCCTTTAACTGTAAACTCCGCAAATAATGCGACATGATCACTTGGAAAATGAAAATTGGGGAACCCGGGCACCTTCTGCAGATACTCCTTGTCCACCTCCCCAAGTAACGCCGAGACATGAAGTGTGTTGGAAGTATACCAAATATAGTCAAGAATATCTTTGAAGTCCGGAGTGTAGTTCGTGAAGCTCAGCTCGCCAATCGAGTTGTATGCCGACTTCAGCTTGAACGGGTGCGTCATACCGACCCGACTAAGGTTGCCGTAGAGCCTCTTCTCCAAGTCCGGATGGGACTCCGTGAGCCGGCCGTGTGCGACCAGGTTGTACGCTGCCGACCCAGGCGCCGAGTTGAAGTCTCCGCACATGAAAAGCGGGATCTGATCACCACTGGCATACTCCACAGATGGCGCAGGTTCAGGTGG